TTGCATTACAGAAAGCTCGTTCTTCTCTAATATGATGCAACTATATTGTGAACCATAAGATACCATCTCGTTTATATTATTAATTAAATAGAAACACCATCAATACTATAGACACTTTATAAAATTAATCAACAAGACAACTTACAGGTTTTAGTATAAATATTACAATACTTTATTCTAAATTAACAGTTTTCTGTAATTATTCAGAAATTACGTTAATCTGTAAACTTTAGCAGTCTTTTCTGTAATATAGTCAGGGAAAACTATGTCCCATTTCAATATTTAATTTTTGTTATTAATAATTTTTTTTTTCTCGCGGTGTTAAGAAAAATGTTAACCCATAAAAGTGATGTTGCAAAATTAATGATGCTTGTAGTTGATAAGGGGAACTGCTGATCGAAGGAAACCTCTTTTTCTCACATCGTTAGTTTTTCCGATATTTGAACTCTTTCGCTTTTGTAAAGCAATAGAACTTTTACACGATTCAGGATATTTTTAGTGACACGGGCATCGTAGGTAAATATATTTCGAGAATGATCTCACGGTGGATCGATGACACATTAATTTCAACGAATGCTCGTACCGCTGCTATTGCCATTTTTTTATATGAATTTACAATTTAAAAAACGTGATATGAAACAAATTTTCATAACATATGTAGCCTGAACCAGCAAAATTTATTTAATATAAACATTACTTGAGGGACCTTATTAAACTTACTGAGATACACAAAAATACGTACTGTATAATTGTCAAAACTTTATACATCCACCTCTTAATCATTCAATATATTAAATTAAAACAAAATCTGTCGCGTCCATAAAATTTCCAAGATCATCAAATAGGGGCCTAATTTTTATACTTATATTTGTTACTAAAAAAGTTTAATGTGGTTAAAGTGCAGCATATTTGGAATACCAATTTCTTTAACATGTTAAGATGAAAGATATTAACAAGAGAATCAAACCTTCGAAAGTGTTCGTAGTATACCTGTTATTGTGATAAAATATCAATTATAATTTTTAAATTTATATGGAATAATTACACACATAAAATGCTGCACTCCCTTTTGCTATTTCATGTTCCACAAAAGTATCACAGTACCTACTTCAATAGATTTTCTTACTTCAAACTAGCAAAATTGAAAAAAAAAATTTCATGTTGCAATGTGTATTATCGAGCTGATCGTAGAACTGGCACGAAACTGTAGAATTAGTGTGCAATTAGGATTAAATTTTATACTCCTCGACAAATTGAATAGTATTAAAATTACAGTTCGTCGCTGGCATTGGTTATTAGATAATTATCTCGTATTACTTGCTGTGGTGCGAATCAGGTAATAGCTTTGGTATTCCAAATACAGTGCACTTACTCTAGTTTGAAATTAAGCTCGCGTGAGACTCCCGCGGAAGCAGCACGATGCTTTTCGAAAGGGAAGACCGTGGTTCTAATCGGTTTTCGAGATTGTCGTGTCAGGAGCATGTCCATAACGAAACAAATTTATGACCGTTGGTGAACGTTCGTGCAGTGTTGCTGAAAATCGCGGAACGATCGACGTAGGACTCCGGTGTGGAGAGCCGGATTGATATGCGAGTGAAAACTGTACACAGTCGCGAAGGATCGGCAAAGGTGGTGGAAGAGGATGACGATGAACGCTGATCGCAAACTCATCAGCCAGCCGTCGGTGGACAGCGAAAATAACGAGCGTGTCAGCACTGACCGCGTGGGTAGACCTCCTTTACATGCTTATGTACCGTACACGCATTGATACACGCACCGAAGACGGTGTTTATTGTTACTGACCGCCACACTTTTTTTTCTTTTCGCACGTATCCGTTTTATTAGTTGTCCTACGCGAAAGCAGAGCTCAACGGTCGAACGTTCTACGCCCCCTCCATGTTAACACACGATTCGGAAACCATGTATGTCGTTCCACCCACCACGCTTTCCGCCTTTACGAAATTGCATTTTATTATTTTACGAAAATTAGCCGAACCCGCGGCGTCCCCCACACGGAAGAACAAATTCAAATCGGATTACGAAATTTTTTCACGCGTGATTCTATTTCGGGGAAATTCGGTTTGGCAATCGACCGTGCCTCGGCAAACCCGCCCCCGCAACGCGTTACTTCCGGTTGCGTTTGCAGAGGTTCAACGGTCAAATTATTTGGGATATTGTGTTTGGAAAATTAAATAAACCGATAGCACCTATATTTTGATTGCTCTACGAATTTTTCATTTAATTGGAATTTATTTTTGTCGTTTTCTGTGTACACTTTGTACGCTAAACGTCTGTTTTCTATTTAACTGTTATGTCAATACCTGGGTACCCTTTTTCATATTTTATAAAACAATTTAAGACAAAAAACTGTCACTTGAGTGAAATTATATTAATAGTTGATGAAAGAATTATATAGGTTCGAAACAGAAATTTCGAAATGTGTGGCGTTGATGAACATTTTACCATGTTAAAGAGAAACAAGGTAATTTTTGAAAATGTGTTAAAATAGTTTACGATTAAGTATTTTGGTGTTTCGTTAAAATTCGTCGAATAATAGTTCGAATACGCGTTTTAGCGTATTTAATACAAGAACCTTATCATTATTATCGGTTATCGTATTATGTCTTATAAGGGCTATTGACGTAACGATTTATCACACAATGAGTCTCACGTTGAATTGGGGCGATAATCGTTTGGTTTACGTTACTTCACGCGATATATTGTACAACAAATCCAACACATTACAATTACCCTGCAAACAATCGAACCAATCAAAATTGTATAATGGTAACTTTTATTGTTTCCTTCAGTGTGAACAATTGTATAAGCGAATCAAAATTGTGCAAAGTATTCTACGATAAATTGAGAGGATCTAGACTTGAGCCGAGCACAAAATCGAGTCACCTAAAGCCACGCTTCTACTGCTCGAAGTTATAAAAATGGCGCCTGACTCCGCCAAAAATCCGCTTTTTATAGGAATGATATTAATCATTATGCAGTACGAAATCTTGACAATGAATCTAAATTCAGTAACAGAAAAATAATCGGTGATTATACAGATTGTTTAGTGAATGTTTGGGAGTTGGGTCACTTCACTTTTACGAAACTGAATAGTCGATCTCTTGAAGTAATTATGAATTTTATTGATTCGTACGTCGATTGTGCTTGGATAAATATGATTCGATACCTGTTCACGTCTTTCCAGCTTCCAGCTATATTTATCAGTTATATGAAACATTTTTGCGGTTCTTCTTCGGTGAAATCGGATTCTAAAGTACCTTATGATTGACAATCGATTACTGGATACTCGAACTAGCGAGAAGAAGATTCGACAGTAATGACTCCGTTAAAGGGACCAGGAGATTGCTCTACATTCTATCTATTTCTCTTCTGTTTCCCTATTTCCTTTTCGCTTCGTTTGTTTGATAGCTCAAACAATCTTCGTCACTTATTATAATGTTTCCCAAATTTTGCGTTTTAAGGCAGAACATAAATATGAGAGTGAATTATCGGGAGCTATAAAGCTAACAGAAATGGTTTAGTATGGTAAATAATAGGAACAGTATTGCTCTTCAAGTTGTCGCTTTAACGATTTTTTTAAATTTCTTGCATTAAACTATTAATCAAAAGTTTGATCACTCAAATCTACATGTTTCTACTAAAAATGGTCTATGTCGTATTAAAATGGTATTATTTAAATTCCAACAATACAAACATTTCTTAGAAAAGCATGAAAAATGTCTAAATCAAGGCATTCATTTTAATCATTTTGCTGAATATAACTAAATAAGTCCACCACAATTAATGTTTTAAAGAAGGTAGAAACAAACAAAATGAGATGTCTTTCAAAATTATGATAGGGGTTAGAATTTCTGAAAAAATTATTTTGGCTCAGAATCAGTATTTTTATATTCTGACGTTTTAAAATAAAGAAATTGTGATACTTTGAAAGGATTCATTGTATCGTGAAAATGCATAACGACACACGTACTTGTGAAATATATTGTACGACACGCGAGTAAAAAGAGGAGTCGCCCAGTGTATTTGGTGGCCATCGTTGAACATTGAATGTGTCGTATGTGGATGAAAAAATAAGTGGGAACGTGGCTTTAATTGGCGTTCAACTCGAGTCTAGACGCACCATGTAACAGGACGAGTTTCTCTCGTAGTTCGTATTATGACAATATTGGTTAACACGTGACTAACTGCACGTGCTAACGCATTACTTGGGCACGTGGAATCTTTATTACGAAACAACACGGTGGGCACACAATAGTGTCATCGATTTTTGAATAGTTGTTTGTTCAGAATTTGGCAGGAATATTTAGCGAAAATTTATACCAGACTAATGACGATTTGTTGGAATTTTTACAACTCTCCTTCTCATTTCACAGATATTTCTTGAAATACAAGTGTGCTTCTTTTAAACTTTAATATTTAAAGTTATAATTCTTGTTCATTCTATTTATTTGTATTGAGAAAATAAAACAAAATGTACATAGAGAAAGTATACCAAGCAGTAAGAATTACTTTTTTGTTAACATGTAATTATCAATATTTCGTCGTTACATTCACGTGAATGTAAAATGTTGAGGGAAATGATATTAACCCATATTTCTTAGTTAGTATTTGAAACGAGTAAGGAAACGATTAATTGTTTATTTTCGTAAATAGAAGGAACAGAAGTTGTTTCTTTTTTTCTTTTCAAGCCCAGTTTTGGTTCTATTTTATACTTGCTTTCCAGATAGCTCTTACACATTGAATAACCATCTTTGCATGATCATTTAATAATCTCTCTCCTTTTATTTGACTTTAAAACAAAAAAATGAATCTGGCGATTTTTGTTGAGTAACTCTGTATGTGTGATGGCGTATTTGTTATTTCAGGACATATTTTGTTCGACGTAATTTCGGCTTTCGTTGTCGTTGTATGTACAGAAACGTTGATAAATCGTCCGTGGAATGCTAATTTCACGTGTGAATGTTATTCATCTGTTCCAGGACACCAGAACACACGTTGTTGTGGAACTTTATGACACGGAGCGATCGTACGTGGAGGCACTGCAAATACTAGTCAATGTGAGTACATTTTAATACACAAATAAATTTCACTGTGTAGAGTAATAAAACTCGGCCTTCGATTTTATTTCGAGTGTCTGCTCGAATCAGTGGCCAATTTAGACGACGAATGTTTTTGAGAAATAGTACGAACATTTATTCGATACTTATTTTAAGAAACGTTCAGTTATCAAAATTATTACTATATTGATCGATACTGAGAAAGATAATTTTATATAAGAAGAAGAAAACACAAACATTAGTGTTTATTTTTTAAAGGAGATAACAAAAATTCGAACAAAATTGCTGAAATCTTTCAAGTGTGAGTTCATTTTCTGAATAAATCAAACAGCATTGTTAATATTGGACGTTTTTATTGCGTTTGTACGGATATTCAGAATACATACGAGCGTAAGAAGCTGAGAGTAGGTTGAAAATACTGTTATAAAACGTAACCTCAAATATGAATAGGATAATTTTCAGTTATCTGAATTTTTTTCCGATTACAAGTGTCCCATTTAAATTGGTTATAGAAGAGTATTTCGATGCGTCTCGGTCTCTGTTATTTTTCCTTGCGGGGAAATGTCAGCGGGTAGCTCGATTGAAATGCGCTTTTCGAAAGTTCCTCGAATATCGAAGCTACGACCTTGTTTCTCGTAAACAACCTCGTTGCTCGTTTATTTACTTCGTTCGAACAAGGATTCCACTCGAGTGATCTACTTCGTGAACAGTAAGTTCCCCTCCCTAAGTTATGCAGCCTCGCATCTCGGGGTTGTTGTTTTAATTAAACATACTGTCTGTGTTGCGAGCGTATCCTGACAAACTTTTTGAAATTTTTTCAAAAATCAATTAAATAATTTCGATACGTTTTCCTATACAGCGAAACGTCTGGAAATCAAAGAATATTAAACAATATCTGAACATTCTACAATCCAAATGTTTTATTATCCGAACAGTATATTTTTCTGCTTCTATTTACTATTGTTATATTAAAAATTTGTGTACAATGACAATTTTTACTAAAAATGTACATGACCATTTCGCTGATTTTGGGACTGTATTAAACTCTCGTGATTGAGCTATCGATTAAGAATTTGTATCATTAGAGCATCTTACAATCTGTGATATTGTTTGTAAACATCAGATAAGGTTTACAAACATTTTCTTTAATCATTCATAACTCGAAAACTGGAGAATATAGGATATACGTTATACAACGTTTCTTATTCTTTTACGAGTTCTCACATGCCTAATTAAATTTGTACGGGTTGTAAGAAAATGCACTTGTACTAACGATATAAAAAATCGTATTTTATAACAGAAAGAGATTATAATTTCGATAATGATTATTAATGATTCCAAATAAAAATAAAACGAGTGGATGCTGAGGACCCAAGTTTCCCTAAATTTTGGAGTTTTTCTTAGCTCGTGTTAAATTATTTTTTTTTACGACGATGCTTATAATGCATTTGCGCCTCAATAAAATCCTTCGAAGTATGGAAATATATTTATGAATCACACGGTATTTTTACGTATGTATTTAAAATCTTTGAAATTTCGAAGGTTCAGTAAAACAGAAAAGTGCACTGTCGGAGCGAAACGCAGCTTCCGTGGTCGCTTGACATTTCAAGAAGCTCATCCCGTGCGTGTCTCGGGTTTCGTCGTCGTATTCGCATCGAAGGCTTCCCGATCGATAAATAATGCCTGTAATTAGTCCTTTGTAATTACCGTGCCGCCTCTATGATTCGATACGATCGCGGAAGGACGATTTCTCATAAACACTGTTGAAAATTGACGCGTAAATGGAACGCAACCTTCGGCAGCAATCCTGCGCGGACGGCGCGTGTTCTGGATTTAATGGCTGCGATCCGTGACAGGCGTGATTTCCAGATTTATTTACGCGTATCGATATACCGGTCGCGGCGCGTACGTGCTTTTACGAGCACGATCTCGAGAAACAGCCCTCGTAAATGGTTTTCGGGAAGGTGTCTGGGTTTTCAATGGAGCTGCAGTCGCAGCGAAGATGGTCTTTGGAATCCTATTTAGTAAAATTCAATGATAATAGAATTTTTAGCAAATACAACGTTGCAATACCTTGGAAAATTGTTTTTATACAGGGTGTTCGGCCACCCCTGGGAAAAATTTTAATGAGGGATTCTAGAAACCAAAATAAGACGAAAATCAAGAATACCAATTTGTTGATGAAGGATTTATTAAAAAGTTATTAACGTTTAAAGTTCCGCCCATACAGAATTTTTTTTTCGAAAATGCGCAGGATTTCGGGGGTATGTCTATTCACAAAAAATGATTATAATTGACCCCCGCAACCGAAAATAATTTTTCCAGGACGATTTGAAATTCTTTTTTTCCTTGAATTTAGGCACCTGATTAGATTTTCGATAAGGAATTTTTTTCTCGAAATTGCGTAGGATTTCGGGGGTATGTCTATTCATAAAAATGATTGTAATTGACCCCCGCAACCGAAAATAATTTTTCCAGGACGATTTGAAATTCTTTTTTTCCTTGAATTTAGGCACCTGATTAGATTTTCGATAAGGAATTTTTTTCTCGAAATTGCGTAGGATTTCGGGGGTATGTCTATTCATAAAAAATGATTGTAATTGACCCCCGCAACCGAAAATAATTTTTCCAGAACGATTTGAAATTCTTTTTTTCCTTGAATTTAGGCACCTGATTAGATTTTCGATAAGGAATTTTTTTCTCGAAAGTGCGTAGGAATTCGGGGGTATGTTTAATGACCAAAAATGATTGTAATTGACCCCCGCAACCGAAAATAATTTTTCCAAAACGATTTGAAATTTTGGTGTATTTTTGATAAATATGTAGTTTAGTGACTTTTTTCAATTTTGATTATTAAGTCACGATAAATAACTGGGTTGTAATACATTTTTTGGGTTGGTTGTTTCATACTGAAATCTGATTAATTCGAGAATTTTACTGTTTTTGATTTATTATTATTATTATTGATTTATTATTTACTATTATTATTATTTTCCTCATTTTTCTGTTGTCTGCAAATGAATTGATTTAGCTAGATAAAAATCTAATCTGCACCAAAACTTTTAAAAACATTTTAATGTATATCCCTGTAAGTATAGTATCTTTTTTTTCGAAAAATGAATTTGAGAAAAACTGCTATGCAAGATTACCATATGTTAAATTAATATTATTTTTACATTTTTGATACGTAATTTCAAAGAGAAAATGTATTGTAACAGAGAGCAAATGTATAATTGCGTAAAATTGAAGGATAACCAAAGGGTTCTTTTCAAACTAAACTTCAAAGTTGCTAGTCCTTAAAAGAGATTCGTAGACGTGGTTTCAATAGCGAGAATTTTCGCACCGAATGATCGAGAATTCGGATTCTAGCGTGACAGGCCCCTCGTTTGATTGTCATATTTAATAAACATCGTGCCACCCTCGGGTTATGGTGATTGTTGTTGAAGCCAAAGGAATATTTCGCGACGGACTTGCCGATTTGTCATGTTGTCGGTTCGACCTAGAAGAATAATAGAAAAGGATTTATCGGAGAAGCACAAATAAACCCACTCTTCCGGTTTCTTGTGAATCTCGATGATCGCGGTGTCGACCCTTTCAAGAAGGAACACCTTTCTCTGAACACCCGCCATTTTCAATCATAATCTAAAAAATTTGTGTTTACATTTAGCTGAAGGTTTAAAGAAACTAACCAAAAATTGTTGACCATTGGTACGTTGCCAAAAAATATTGTTGTAATTATTAAAATTCACGTATATACAGTGGTGTTATATACAATATGGTGTTTCTACATAAAAAAATAAATCGAAACTGTAGAATAAAATTTTTCATTCGAGGTTCTGTTTTCAAGAAAAATTACTTCAAAAATTTTAACCAAAGTTGTCAGATTTCTTTACATGTATATCACATGTATAAAGAAATGTGACTAATCTTATTCAGTATTCGACGTACACAAAATACAAGATATTCATTTTCCCTAGCAGATATTGTGATTAATTTCCTTTTTATGACATTATCGCCTGAGAAATTGCTCGAAATGTTGCTCATATTGGTACTTACTTAATCGAGTCCTTTTCAATAAGTTCCTACCATCGTCTTCCAATGTAAAAGTTTGCATTTTTAATTGTCCAGATGCTATAATAATTATTTGACTCTCCATTACTTATTTTTGCACAAAACTCAATATTTTTCATCAATTTTTCAAAGTTATTTTCTTCGAAAATGAAGCCTCGAATGAAAAAATTCAGAGTCGAGGAGGTTGAACGGAAACAATTATATCAGCGTCGATTTTTTCATATTATTCGAGATAGAAGAGGCACGTTTCTCGAAATATCGCAACGTCACGCCATCCCCGAAGGGTTAATTCATCCCCAGAAGCCAACGACAGCGACATCCTGTTAATAAAACGTCTCGATCCCGTTCCACGAAGTCGTTCCAATCCCATCCGTGAGAGGCAAACATCTCGAACGGCGAGTCACGAATGGGAAAATATTTTGTGGCCCGCGAATCGAGTATTTTTCCCCGTCTAGGTCGTACACTTCGGTTTTTTTAAAATGGAAATTTCAAACGCAATGTTTGTCCGTGGATTTTTCGCGCTGGAATTTTAATCGCGATGTTTATTCGGATTCCTGTACAAAAGTTATGGCCGCGCTATTTACACGAACCTACGTGTAATAATTCCCAGCCACGACGCTCGGCGTTTTCGGAAAAACGTTACTCGACATTTCGCTTTGCATGCCTAATAAATTCCCCCGAACATGCATCGAACTTAATAAAATACGTCGTTAACATTTTTATTCGGCCGTCGATAAGAAATTACCATTTACAAATATTCCCAGCAGTTTTCTCCTCTTAATAAACACGCTAAAAAATTAAGAATTCATAGGAATATTATTATTGTACATGGCGAGGCTTCTTCAAAGTTTCCCATCGATTTTCCAGCCAATGACCTTTCACGATTCGATACATTTTAACGCAGCTAATAATTCTTTGATGTTTGGTAGAAAGCTTTTTTTCTTTCTTGGAACATTTTTTAAAGCATTAATTTATTTTAAATATTAGCAGGAGTTCGCTCAAAATGACCCAACGATTCTAACAATTTAACGTTGTTAACTTGGTAAACGTAGAAGCGTTGAGTCTTCGATGCTTGATATAAAGGGCTTAAGTAAAATTTTTCCAAATATTTTGAAATCGTAATTCTGTCGTAAGTCCGGTTTACGAAGAAACGTGAAATTTATTATCGAGTTGGTCGCTTGAAAACAATGGCTGACGCGCCTGTTGGGCGCTGCGCGTGTATTCTCGAAATTCCCTCTTCTGCTTTGACAATCGCGCTGCGTGATTCGTCGAATAAAAATTTATTTCGCGTTAAATCATGCGGCATTAAGTAATAACTTACACACGGTGACGTTCGTGCCTATTTCTATACCGGGTCACGACACTCTTTTCCGTCCCAAAGTATTTCCACGATCGGCCTTCTCGTTTCCTCGAGGAGGAATTCGAGGAATCGCGTTGCGACCACATTAACAGGCCTATGCACTTATTTATGAATCACGGGGGAAAAGAAAGAGAACCGTCGTTTAACCTGAATATTTCACTGGCAGTGGGGATAGAGAAACCGAGACGAAAAATGTGGTTTCTGTGAAGCGAAGATCGGTGTTAACGATTTATTATTAATGGCGTTAATATGGCCACTGGAGTTCGTCCTTAAAATTCAATATAAATGTTACACAAATCAAACAAATAAACTGTCATCTATAATTATCCACTTGCATTTTAAATTTTTCATTTTTGAAATCGATAGATATTAATATGGTAATTTGAATCATTAAATTAATCGTCGTCGTACGTTTAAAAGCATAACGTTTGAAAATGTTAACTACATTAGCTCTTCTGTTTAGTTATACTTCGAGTAATTTTGTACTTTCTAGGTAAATTATTCTATTTTGTATTTTACTGTTAGTATTTTGTTACAATTGATGCATTAAAGAAGTTCAATTTTTTTTACTAGAGTAAAGTTACTTTAGTGTTTTTATGAAAATATAGTCACTTTTCGACAGTACTTTTTTACCATTTTTCTAAAACATCTGTCACCAAGTATTTCTGTGGGTTTTTTTCGGAAGTGCTATGTTATTGAGATCTATATTTATTGGTCCTTCAGTCCCTACTGATATTTTTAAAAATCAGTGTTACATTACGATTTTCTTCTTTCTATAGTTCGTGTTATACGTCATGAATTAAGAAATTAGTATTGCAAGAGTTAAAGATTTCAGTGAGAATCGTTGGCTCCTCTATATTAACTAGACACTTCTGTACTTCCTTCTGTTTTGTATTAAACTTACACAATTTATTATTATTATTTATTATAATGTAACTTATAAAAGTAAATTTGATTTGGAAGAAGCATCAGAAAATTCTTAAAAATGTTGAAAAAATCGTTAAAAATGTATGGTATATATATATATATATATATGTATATGTATATATGTATATGTCAAATAATATGTACTTAATATTTATTGTAATCTATTCCAAAAGAAACAAGATTGAAGACACTTTAAAAGCTTTTAAAACTATTCAAAAATCTTTAGTGTAAAACTTTAGGCTCTAGAGGAAAATAATGTAAAACTTAATATTTCAGAAATACTTACAACCATTGAAGAGTTCCGAAAATTCTGGTTTGGTGGATGCAGTGACAGTGGATGAGATCTTTTATCAGGTAAAGTGTTTATTATTTCGTAATTTTGAACTAAAACACAAAACACTCATTATCGGTAGATCACGTCTTAAATATGAAACATATGTCTTCTTCTAAAAAAGAAACTGAAAATTAGACTAGTAAAACTTGTGTCCTTTCATTAGTTCATAAGAATAGTCTGTTAAATTTTATTATTATTCACGTTGTACACAATAAATATTATCACACACATGTACGAAGTGTAAAAATATATTTAAAAACAACTTCAGAAGCATTAATATATTAATGTCATACACAGCAATTAGTTTGTATTTCATTAATACTATTCTTCCACGCAATTGGAATTTATATTAATTTAATAAAAACCTGAGATATTGTACCTACACTTCTCACTGTTCATATCTTTTTACTATTTTTCACTAACATTAGAGTTATCCTTTGTTTTGCTGGTAAAGACTACATTGATGTCAAGTAGATTTTTATATACGAATGTTATATTCGTATTTAATGCGTAAAGAATTGTGGAGTTTGAGAATGCACACCAAATTTTGTATGAAAACATTGATATGGAGAGGATTGTCGCACGTAGTACCTACATATTCCCTTGTCTGACTGTATTCGAAGTTCTCTACTTGCTGTACATTCCGTGCAATCCAGATGCCCTGGAATCCGTACGAATGGGAACACAAAACGATAAGAAAGCTAAACGAAATGGAAATCCCTTTAACCGAATTCCTTCGACTCGGTTTACATATTCGATATTCGGTTACCACATTTTTCCAATTAATTTATCGAGCTATCTTTGAACACTTCTTTAGCTTTGATCGCCAATTTTATTAGTCACGGTATGAAAACGAAAAGGACTGTGAATTTGAATAATACACTTTATTGATACAACTTGAGCCAATATTTAAGATATAAATTTTAAAATATAAAAAAAAATTTAGAATCCCCATCTTCGAATACTGTAATAGTCATAAAATTTCAGATATTTCTAAACGGTCAATATTATATTTTTACAATAAGAAATTGTTCGCTGCCATTATTCGTTCGATTCCCTTCGTGGCACAAAATGCAGACTTCGAATAAAAAATTGGAAACTGAAACGCGTTGAACAGTTAATGGCGGGTCGTATCATCTATTGTTTCACGCAGAATGGCGTCTTTATCGGTGGAGACGGTAACATTGTCAAAAGTGAGCATTCGCGTGTTTCAGATTCCCTCTATTCTCAATCATCACGAAGTATTTCTGGAGGAACTGCGCAAAAGACTGGATACTTGGGAACTTAAGCAGACGATAGGCGATGTCTTCCTCGATGTGGTACGTTTTTCACTTGTAACTGGGTATTTAGCGATTAAAATTTAGTAACTCTTCATATAATCAATAATATAAATATAATCATAAATTTTGCTGACAGTTATTGTGAAGATATCAAGTAATATTTTAGGTACAATTACAGTAGAATCTCTATTATACGTTCTATTATACGAAAGTTTTATTATTCTTGAAAAAGACTAGTTAAAATCGTATTTATTATTAATTAATATTGGCTGAAATATATTTTAATGTGTCCGTATATCATTCAAACATTAAAATACATTTACATTCTAATGTAAAAATCATGTTACTTGTTTCAATAATTATAGTTCATCTAAATTGAGGAGAATTACGAAAACAGTTGTGAATGATTATTTTCGTGCACTGTCTTTATGGCTCGAAGTAAAAGTAAACTCAAGAATAACGAAATTGCGTCGGAGGCTTTGTTTTCGAAAAAATTGAGTTCGAATATCAGTCGAGTACATTATTTACAATATTTTTTCGCCTTTTAATGGAGATTAAAATACAGTTTAATGTCGACAGGGGAACTATCCACTTACGAAATAAGAATGCATTCGATTCGAGTGACAGTTTAAGTTAAAAGCTTCCAATTTACAAACCTATCACTACTATAATAAAATCGAATAATCAAATAAACACTCCAAGTATCAGGAATCTCAGGAAGACTCGTGAAAATATTTACAAAATTCGCTTCGGAGAGAACGCGAATAGAAACTGACAGGAAGCAAGCGATATTCAGCTACGTCGACGAAACTATTTAATTATACTAACGATATCGTTTGCACGAAACTATAACGAAGACGTTTCGTGCCAAAGGATCTAACGTATCTTTCTGTTTTCTCGACAGTTCACGAAGCCGGTCGTCCTGGAGACGTACACACTTTTCCTTGATAATTGGAAGTCCGCGAGAAAGGCGATAAAAACGACTTGTCAAGCGAAACCGGCTTTCGCGCGATTCCTCGAGGTACTCAGCGAAGATTCTCTTTCATTTTCCTTGTTTCAACTGACGCTTTTGTCGTCCGCGTCTTTAAGCGTCCGGTCCGCGAATCTCTCGTACAAATTTTTCACAATTTCCTCGATAGCAGTTCGTAGACTATTCTTCGCGGACCCTTCCACGCGGTCCGCGATTCTCGCGGCGCGTATTCCGTTTTACTTCTTTAAATTCTCTCTCTCTCTCCGGTAAGTTTACATACTTCGATCGTTTTCCTTGCACGCGACAGACCATGGAACGGGAGCACAAAGGAAAACTCGGGCTGGATCAGTTACTGATTAAACCGGTGCAGAAGATACCGCGTTACGAGCTGCTGATCCAGAGACTGTTGAAGCACACGGACGCGTCGCATCCGGACTACGAGCTGCTGCAAGCCGCCCAGAAGGAAGTGCACGAATTGGTTGTGAAGATCAATTGCACGGAAAGGGAGTCCCTGGAGTGGGAGCAGCAGCAAACTACGTTGAGGGAGGTTCAGGCTCTCGTTGAAGGACTCGCTGGTATCGTGACGAACGACAGGTGGGTAGCGATGGGAACAATTCTATGACGTATCGATTAACCCCTCTACGGGGGAATTCGTATCTCGTACCGGAACCTGACATTTTCATATGTCGCTGGTATCCAGTCAGAGATACGAACTTACGCCATTGTTTCTTCGCTTCAGGGACTTATATCGGTTGTGAAATACCGGTATTATAGCGACAAATATCGGTTGCATTGTCATAACTCTTATAACAACCGAGATACAGCAATGATTCGTAAAATGAACATCCCTTCGGGGTTGGTATGTTCATTTCTCGTACAGTGGAGGCGAATTTTCACACCAACAGATTATTCTAAACTTTGTCTTCTTCGTCCATATTGTAACTGGGTAAAAAAAAAATATATATAGTAATGATTTGCAAAATGAACGTCACTCTGGGGTTGGTATGTTAATTCTTCGTAGGGTAAAGGCAAATTTTGATGTTAGTAGGTGTTTATAGACAGATATATCATTGAATCTCAAGGATGACTTTATCTTTTGTTGACGAAGAATTATGTCTGAGGATCATTTTAAGAATCATTAATATATACATGCACCTAATAATAATATTGTGTAATAATGTTAGGAACGCATACAAATATAAAGTACATCCGAAAATTACTTTATTTCGATGTGTACATTTTATGAATCGTTGAATAAGTATTATGCAAATTAATTTTTGTTTTTCGATTTACGTTCGGAAGGAAGATTAAAAATGGGCGTGGGGGGAATCTCGTTAGTAAATTTTGCTTTATAAAAATCTCACTGACCTCGTTAGTGGATTTTCGAAGAAACTTTTTTAATTTATAAAACACGATAAAATGTGTCAAAGTATAAATTAGAGCAAATGAAAAGACAGTGGAAGAAGTTCTTTTTTTTTGTGAATAATTATATAGTCAAGGAAAAAATATAATAAAACATAAAATTTCCTTCGGGAATCATTATCTCCATACAGGTATTAATATTATATGACTTTGCATTGTATAACCAAGTTTTAATAACTCTAGAGTCTGTAATTATATTTATATAGATATCAATCACATTTTATGCATCATTAAGTTATAAAGCACACAAAATTGCATTATCATATAAATTTACTTACAGACCATGCAATTACTCAAATTTGATACGTGTTCCAAAATCAGTGGGCTTAATATATAATAATGTATTAAATATATCTTTAAAATAGCGTTAAATTTGAAAAGTTCAGCACGATGAGATACATAAACTTTATCGAATTCTAACTCTAAGAAATTATTAATTATATTTGATATTCAATCTGATTATGGTATGTTACCTTTAATTTTTCTTTAAATATTTCTCATGACTTTTGAATGTCATTCAATAGCAATCAAAATGGAATTGGTATATATCGTTTAGATTTTTTGAAGAGATTTCTGGGCACGGTTTGATGCAAGAGAGATTTCTATTGTAAATTTTATGATTGTGAAATGTCCTTCTGTTTGTCAACCTTAATTTGCGAACGTTTCAATCGTTCACTTGCACACAAAGCTCGTTCTAGCGACACGGGTACGGGTTCAGAAGAAATTATGCACACAACAGATTGGTTATCAGATATCTTTGTGTCCGTGTAAAGCGTTGCACTCGCCTTTCCATTTCATGAACTATTCAACCTTTAAGCGTGCACACTGTATCGATTCCCAATACCGATGCGTGTCGTAGCAGAAACTGCTAGGAAAACAAAAAGATTCGTCTGAATTGACGCATCTATTTTTGCTGCAGAGCTTTCGTCCGCCACGATCTGGTCACCATAGCCTCGAATCAAGGAACAAGAAAGGAGCGTGCGCTATTTTTGTTCTCCGATCTGCTTGTTATCACCAGTATCAAGAGGAGAAGCGGAACCATTAGAAAACCGTCGACGTGAGTTTGCTGCATATCTTTAAAAAATATTTAAACCTTTTTATACTCTGCTTGAACACGATTCTACTCCAAATTCTAAATAAAATTAATTGTCTGGATAATTAAAAGTATTAAACGACTGATATAGTGTCCTACTAATCAGGTTCGTGCTAAACATATTTCTAATTTAAAGATCTTCGTCAAAACATAAACTAACATTTTTCAGATTACGAATAAAAGTTTTGTGCAAAGAATAACTGCAATTGTTGCGTAACAAAACTTTTATGCATATGTCCTTTTCTATAGAAGTTCCTGCCCGAACAGTTTGGTCGGCCTACTGGAAGCAAATAAGTACAAAATGTTAATGAGAATACCACTGGACGACCTAGAAGTTATGAAAGGTATTTAGATAAAAATAGCATAACGTACGCAGAAACTATTTATCTGAAAATGCCCTTTTTAAAGCCAATAAAATTTTAGGCATATTCTTTTTACGAAACTAACAATCTTTTAGGAAATATTCATTTTTCGAACAAGCTTTTGAAATCGTCAGCATTTAAAGATAAAGTCTACGCTTAATAAGATTAATATCAAACCAAACATATTTGTCATAAAATTGTAATTTTATTAATTACTTCGTAATTTCTTGATAAAGATATTTTTCTTAAAAGCTACATTTAATAGTCAAATATTTTTTATAAAATTCAATGTACCTAAAATAATTTCTTTAATCGAGACAATACTATCTTAACAAATCTCATATAGATTTTGAATATTGCAAAAATAGATGTACAAAGATCAATGATAAAAACGATTGTTTTGAATAATTTCTAAGGGGCGCAACGTTTTATTTTTTATTAACCATCCGATTACTGAGACTTTTATTAGCTTAATGCACAGTGGGGTTCGGAGTAAAAAGCTTGCTTTTCCCGACAGCCAAAGATGAAAACTTAAGGCGAATGGCTCGCGAGGTAGACCACCTTCGAGAAGACTGTGCAACGTTGACACAACTTCAGGAACTCGCATCAACGTTGCACGGCGCGAAGCAACAGTTAGAAGAACTTATCAAAGACATGCTGGGGCAAGCACAACGTCAATTAGCCGAGAGAAACGCGGCACACTCGCAATTGGCCTGTCTGGAATTAACGCTTAATACTCAGTGAGTTGCGTGCTGCAGAATTATTAAATATTCTCGTAGACGCGTGCGACAAATTTCTGTCTTTTTTTCTGTCTGATAGAGTCAATAGGTCTCTAACTTCTAATCCTGGAGCAAACTTTGTTGCACAAAATAAACCTGGTCAGTTTCATCAACAGTGAACTTAGTATGCCAAACAATCAGTTCTGATAAGTTACAATTCATATTGCAGTGAATGCTAATCAGTTTTTCCAAATTTTCAACACTCGAGTGTTGACATTTTTCTGTTGATATTTATTTGTTCGCAGAATTTGACAGCTTTGACTACTCGAGATTTCTGAATCTTACCGGATATAGAAGTTACTCCCACTTGTACTCATACACTATAATGGTGATTCACTATGAATTAAAAAAAATTTGTTTCTTATGAATTAAGCCGTTGTGTTTGAATCTGGTGTAAGTCCATTTTTCCATATATTGGGACATTTAAGGGTTTTTGTTTGGATAAATGGTGGTTTTATATTCGTAAATAATTACTAAATAATAGAAAATATTATTGCCATTGTTGTATTATACTTTAATTATTTAATTAATTGTATTATACGTTAATATTACAAAAAAAACAGCAATAGAAGTATTTCCTAAATAAAAGTAACACAGTTATAATAAACAACGTTTACTAAGAATAAATAGGAATAGTTCACAAGACAGAGTTTTCCTTTCATTTATAGTGAAGTACAAGTGGGGAGTAACTGCATGTATATGTCACATGACAAAGTATACAATAGGAACATGTAAAATAAAATATACATATTCGAACCACCTTAACGCACGAATAAGCAATAAAATTAATTCTATAAGGTAGTATCGTTAGCACATCGACTTCGAAAGCTCTTCTATTGATCAGGAATCCTAAAGTCCTCCACGATCGAAGTTCGTCAACGATATTCGTGTTTCAGTTTCATTTCCCTCGGTCTCCCAATAATGTTCGGGGACGTATCGCGGTTCGCGTGTCGTTTACCAATCAGCAAACGTCCCGAGAGGATTTCATTTGTAAAGGAAAACGTAGAACACCGTGCGTCGGAATATCGAACACCGACGTTCCATTCTGTTAATCGTTCGAAAAGCCGGCGCAGCTCACAATAACGTTTTTGTACATTGTCTCTGTCACGTTCCCAAGCCACGTGCGTGAGATCACGGACATCCGAGGACCGTGCGCGTTTCCGCCCCCGGTTGGGTAAACTAACAACGTGACTTGCCGCTTTGTGACACGACCGTTGTTTATTTCCAGGGCTGGGATCGAGAATATCTCTGTCATGTTCACGAAGCCAGACAAAAGGGCTAGCTGGGAGGAGAGTTTCAACGAAGCCAAGCAAAAGTTAGGTGAGTGACGCACAGCCCCGCGATACGTGCAACCGTCTGTCTGATCCTTTCTCGATGTCTCAACTTACAGCGTTATCCGCTGATAGGAGGCCCTGCCCAGAGTTTGTGGGTCCTCTGCCGATTCGAAAGACTCGGGCTGGCTTGCAGTTCACCTGCGCCGCCCCCACATTGGCGAACGGACAGGGTTCCAGGGACGTTTGGGTATGCAACAGCGACGGCTACGTTGGCCAGGTCTGTGTGCTGAGCCTGACCCCCGAACCACCGCAAGTCACCTCCTGCAACGGCGTTTGCAACGCCAGGATTCTGTGCGTCGCAGGAATTCCGGCGTGCACGCTCAGGTACGGTCCTTTTCTCTTTCAAAATAGTGGAGGCGCTATCCTTGAAGCTTTCGTGGCCTGGGTTCTTGCAGTTTCTACTACTCGAGTCGCTGTGCGATCGGTGTCCTTTTAGATAAATATTCCAACAGTAATCTGATCTGCAGTCCATGACAAAACAATAGCATACATCCATATTAATTTTACTCTCAAGCTATTAAATCAATTTTAGTTGTTCTGTGAAATTTACTTGGATTTATCAATGTTTCCTTTCTCTTGTTTTCACAATTCTTGTATTCAGTGGCAAGTTCTTCTTTTAGTTGAAATAAGAATTATTGTCTTGATATCATCTACCCTGTTTTTTTTTTATAAGATTTAGATTTTATGTTAAATTTTTTCGATATTTAATGCTATGTCCATATCAAATTTCATGTTTCAGATATACGTGTAATGCTACCTTCAATTTTCACGAACTCATTACTTGAACATAGAAAAGTACTCTATTGTTCCATTTACTTTTATAAGTTGTAAGAATAGAATTATCTGGATTATAAAGTTTTGTTAAAATTATCTTCTTTTGTTTTCAAAATTGTGTCAATTCTTGTATTGTAATTCTTTCATAATGTAAACAGTACATGATGGTACCTTATTATACATTATTAACATACTAAGAGTCTTCTAAGCAATTTAAATGTCAATAGTAACAACTATTACCCTAAAAGTGAATATAATAGTATTAGCAAATTAACTTATTTCAATGATCTACTGTCGCTTAAAGTTAATTCAAAATTTTTCTAAAAGGACACAGCCCACAATCACGAGCCTCGATCAGTAAGAATTGCAATTTTGAGAGACGTTTGATTTTTTGTTATGATTCTCGAGAAGGAAAAAGGAACGAATGATCTTGCAAGAAAAGATAATTGTTAAAGTTGAAAGGAAGCAGATCTATCTTCAAAGTATAATTTCTCTTTTCTAATGCTTTGTAGGCGAGTAGAAAGAGGCTTTACTTTACTTGTATTATATTTTAGATCAAATTCGTGCGTGACTAACAACATTTCATTCGCGAACAGTAAGAGCGGCATAAGCATCTCGGTCCAGGATGTCGATGCCAGTGGCGGGAACATACAGTTAGATAGGTAATGTTGTTAACTGACAGTTTGAATCGGAATGAATAGAATCGCGTTGTTGTCTAGGCAGTGTTACGCAACAAGGAGTCAACTTGCTATCTTAAACGATAATTACAATCTTCTAAAAATCATTATTCCTGTGTATTTGCTACCTTAACCTACCAATTATTCTATACTGACAATAATGTGAATTCTTACATTTTTTTTCAATCATTTAAATTCAATAACAATCATGGGTTGATTCCTTGTTACACAGGGTGAATCATCTAACTTAACGTTCATCGTTAGCAATTATAAAGCAAATTTTGTAGATAAATGTTTCATGATATCGTGCATATATCAAGATATTTCAATTCTGAAGTTTTAAATTCACTTTTTTTTTAATGTAAATGAATAATCTGAGGTTGAAAATTGAACCCAACGCTTATCTATTTAATTTCTAAATTCAGACTTATAAGTTGTACCGATCTCTCGACGTAAAACTGAGTTAGGCGAGTCACCCTGTACAAATACATTATAGTTGTAATCTATGTGTTGCGCGGGATATTTCTAAAACCTTTTTATTTCATTTTCCCTACGAAATACGCTAATCGAGTCGCCCTTGGACGCGTTTCATCGTTAATCTGAGAAAACTGTTTTGCAGTAGCTCGAGCTCCGATGACTCGGACTCGGACGACATTCCATGTGCAGATACGGGTAGCCAAACATTGAGCGGCGATGTTCCGAGTATCGATAATTCTACAACGGAGGAGGACATCAATCAACCGACCATGTGGCTCGGGACCGAAGATGGATGTGTCCACGTCTACAACTGCAACGATAATATCAGGACGAAAAAGAACAAAGTGAAGATACAGCACAACAGCAGCGTGTATTGCATCATGTAAGATTGTTGTTGACTCAAGATCCTCTGCTCGTCGAACCTTTATTTCGTTTACTTTTAAACGTGTGTTTGCTCCTTTGACGTTTCAGATACTTGGATAACAAGGTGTTCGTGTCGCTCGCTAACGGAGACATCACTGTTTACAGTCGAGATCACTGTAAGTTTTTTCCACGGTTGTTAAACATATTAAATAAACGCGTTTAGATCCTTGGAATACTGAAATATCAGATCATCCCATAAGTTCTTTTGTATTAGATGATCAATTCGTACATTTTTGTTACATAAAAATATATAAAGGTATTTGTAATTTTCGTTATTAATATAGGAACTGATATTGAATTTTCTTATCAACCCGTGTCATTTTGATTCGAGGAATGAATTCTCTTAAAGAGAATTTTTATTTTCCAGTGGGTGGTTGGAACACTCTCGATCCAACAACGGTATCGGTAGGCACAGTGGCGTCCCCTATCACGAAAATGCTTCCAGTCTCCGGGAAACTTTGGTGCGGTTGTCACAATACTGTGAAAGCTCTGAATACTCATACGTTGGATATCGAGCATACGTTCACCGTAAGCAATGACACGTCTTTGTCGATTTCCTGCATGGCGAGTTCCGGGGGGCTCGGAGTTTGGATCTCCTTGCACAACAGCGCCGTGCTGCGACTGTTCCATTCCGGAAGTTACGAGTGCTTGACGGACATCAATATAGCGCCAGCTGTAACCAAAATGCTCACCAGTAAGTCTCTATATGAACGCGAACAAATACTGAATTCATTAAAAATAGAAATCGTTCAACTGGCTAGATGACTGGTCGTGGTAGGCAAGACAGACTACATATTTTTTTCAGAAAACAAATAAGAATAAAAGTGAATATTGACAAATTAATTATACATATACTATAAGAAAAGTCGTGAAGTTGATGCTAAAATAACATTGCATGTCAGAGATTCTAAACGAAATTTAAAAATTTTTAAATACTTTTTGGTAATCTTCTAATATGAAAAATTCGTCCAACTCCACTTTTACTTACTTTCTTGGTGCGAATACAGTTTCTTAGTATATCATTATCGAGATTATAAGTTTAGTGTTGGAAAATTATTTTTCCTGACGGGCTTTTAATTATGAAAAATAAAAAAGAGAAGAATGGCTTGCATAAATGGTACAAAGAATGGTAGCTGTTTAGAACTGAAAAACTGTTATGGTGTTCTAATAAAAAAATTAAAACACACCTAATATAAGGTGTCCCAGTAAAAAATAGTAACTTTATTATTCTTTAAACCGTAAAAGTAACAGAATTTTTCAAACAAAGTTATTTAATATTAAGAGACGCACTTGTCAGGGTAGGCGTTACCCCCCGTCTATGGTATTTATTTTAACGGAAGCTTTAAACTTGCTGCAGGTTGCGATGACATAATACGACAGCACAAGGCCGCCTGTCTCAGGGTCACCGCACTTTTGGCTTGCAACGAGTTGCTTTGGATCGGTACGAGTGCCGGTGTACTATTGACCGTGCCAATTCCCCATATAAAGCCATCCACTCAGAGGATGTCTCAACCGCCGATCGTGACTGGTACGTATTGACGTCAGATTCGATCGGCTATAAGCAAGCATCGTTATTGCTTCCGATATAATTAGAAGCTGGCCGCCGTCCGGGACTCCTGCTTCTCGAGGAACCGTCCGCTTTGACCGTCGAGATACAGGCTCGATCAATCATTTGCGAAATTTTTGGATCCATCCGCGTACACCCGGCGCTATAACGTGCCCGCGCGGGGATATTTATAAAATGTTCGCGAGCCCAGGTCTAATAAATCACGGGAAATAGTGCCTTTGACGTTGAACCCGAGCGAACAAGCTTCCGTGCTTCGGGTACAATTTAATTACGATGCCTGGCTAGCTGCGTTCCGCGAAAACCAGAGTTTCTAAGGATATCCTCGGGATCTTATTCTGGTAAAATGTAATTCTGATGCTCGTGACTCGGTAGATCGAATTAACGCGAAGTTAATTTTGTTTCACTTTCTATTTAAGCGGCTTGTAAATACAGGAAATACGGCTGTGTGTAAATAGAACGAGAAACCTATTTGTTTAAAATGTGTCAACGAAATCTATTGAAAAAGTGTAAATATATTTTTTAATATTGCATGTGATATGTTATTTTTTTAAATTTGATACCGTTGGTTCTTAAATATTTTGATTCGAAGCAATAGTTTTAGAATATATTGGTAACGTTATTGCTATCTTTTTCAGGTATTCCCCATGGACATACGGGGCACGTACGTTTTCTGACGTGCGTGGAAACGTTGACGCCTCCGAAACCGGATCCACGTCCGAAGGTGAACAGATATTCTCTGAAATCCAGCAAAAACCAACAGAATAACATCAATCGCGGGAAGCTTCTCGTGATATCGGGCGGAGACGGCTACGAGGATTTCAGAGGACCTCAGGCATCCGCCGAGCTGCAGGCTGGTCGTGAGGATTCGACCAATCATCTGCTACTGTGGAAAGTGTGATGTGATCTAGTACGACCCTCGGTGAGTCTACTTGAAAAAGTTTTATTCCAACAATTACTTTATTAGCTCGTGTAAGCATTAACATTCAGATCGAGTCAAACGAGCACAAATTACATATAAGCATGAGAACACATTCTTCGCTGTTCTGACTCGGAACAGGGCGAAGGAACACCTGCAATTGTTGTGCAGACTTACTCGCATTAAACTAACACATTTGTTGTTAAAAATTATTAATAATATTTCTCCACCTACACGAATTTTTTTCTCGAAAGTGCATAGGATTTCGGAGGTATGTCTATTCACCGAAAATAATTGCAATTGACTACCTCAATCGAAAATAATTTTTTCAGAACGATTTGAAACTTTTCAATTTTGCTGAAAAATTCAGCACCTATTCGAATTTTTTTCTCAAAAATGCGTAAGATTTCGAGGGTATGTGTATTCACAAAAAATGATTGTAATTGACTCCCGCAACTGAAAATAATTTTTCTAGAACGATTTGAAATTTTTTAATTTTGTCGAAAAATTTTCCGGTCGGTATGGAACTTTAAACGTTAATAACTTTTTAATGAAGCCTCAATCAACAAATTGGTATTCCTGATTTTCGCCTTATTTTGGTCTCTAGAATCTCCCATTCAAATTTTTTCTAGAAGTGGCCGAAAAGTACACAAATGTTATGCATAACGAAAAGTGAATAGAATCGATGATGGAACAGAATATTCTTTTTGACTTATTACATGCACAATATGAAATGAATATATAGAAAATGATTGCTCGACTCGTAGGCATAAATGGACCTTATACGTTTTCGATTCGTATTTTTTTAATTAATTTGACCCGCTAAATTTCAAGTCTGGCCCATTGTGCTATAAAAGGACCTTCAAGACGTTGCATCTCCACTACTTCTCTACTCCAGCTGTTGGTCCCCACTCGACGTGTCTTGACAGTGTAGCCAAAAATATAAGTTAAATCCCATTTTCGGGGAGTGGGGGAGGCACTATGATGTAGGGCCCCACTACTACAGTGCAGACTAGTGGAAGAAGCAACAAAACGAGTCCCACTATTCCCCCACTCCTCGAAAATGGGATTTAGTTTATTCTCCAGGCTACCCACGGCGCTTGCTTTGGGCCAAACTCGTGAGCGGTCGCATCTGCCCTTGCCTTTTTCTGCATACATATACCTGCTCCAAAGTCGAGCCAAACTTCTAGCAATCAATACTGTTTCGTCAGTGAAAACGAAAACTGGTTTCTATAATTTGTTACTGTCAGTTACGTAAAAATTAAAGTGACGAGTTCAGTGAAGTGTGGTGAAACAGACTTTATCCGGATCAAAATTTAGTGACGAACGAGTGAAAATTTGGAAAGCAACAACTAAACAAATTGTACAAATCACTAATCAAACAAGTAACCAAACTAACAAACACTCGAACAATCATACAAGAATTCTAAAAGGTAACTCGCTTAAGAATTTAACGATCGCGGATGAACTTACAATTTTATTTATACAGACGCTGCATGTTTGTTCTTTTCTTTTTTGTTTAACCGTACGTGTGAAACCCGTCACGCGTGATTATTCGTATGTTGCTGTTCCTCAGGTAAGGGTCGCAGTTCACGAACGTCGGCATGACACGCCGTGGGAATCGTTGTTACGTGCGCAAGCCACACGTGGTCGGGTCCGCCATCGTCCGATCGTGGCTGTTCAGGACGTATTCGCCCAACGATTTTTCAGGGAACGCGGGAAGGTTCTCTGGCTCGTTTTGGCCGAGTGGATCAAGAGCAGAATAAGGGAGGTTCGTTATTTTCAAGGTGCCAAGAAACGCGGTGTACGTAGCGTCTGGAAATTCGAGTAAGAATTATTCTCATCGATTACCCGTTGACGCTGATCGAGATCGGACCTCGAGTTGGAGTGATTCGTTCGATACTCGTTGGATCGTTTTTAGATGGAACCGCGGAAACGACTCACTGAAATCGGACGAGACCACGAACGATCACGCTATTATTATCGTATTACGAAATTTTATCAATCGCACGACTCTCGTTCATCGTTCGGGAGCGCTTGGTTTCAGTAAATCGTTTCCACGCAGATTTGTATTTTTCCACTGGATCGACGATGGTTTTTCAACCTTGGATCGCGCGTCGTTTGAGATGTTCGCGCGATCGTGTTTTATTATCGACGTGCACTAGATTCGAACGAACTCGTCCGTACTACGCATCCAACCGTATTCTGCCGCGAAGGGTATCGGAATTATATAGAATTTAAGCAGCAATGATTCTTAAAATGAACACGTGATTCGTTAGTTGAACATATCCCTCCCAACTGAAGCGATCCCTTTTTAAAGGCAGTTCAGCGTGAAATACGATATTGAAAAAACGATACGAGCTGTCTAGTAAACCTAATCCCAAACGTGATTCGTAAGTTGAACATTTCTATCCCTCCCAACTGAGGGGATTTCGAAGCCAGTTCAGCGTGAAATACGATACTTAAAAAACGACACGAGCTGAACGTAAGATGAACGTGCCAATCCGGGAGCGATGTTCATTTTAAGAATCATGATTGTATCAAGCGAAAGACGGAGCGCGCGTACGCGTTTGCGATAGTACGAGACGAGTCTTTTCGAAGTCGATGATGCTCCAAGAGTCGATGATGAAGGAGATGGGAGAAGGAATACGCGCGTTGCTCCGAAAAAATTCGAGCGGCGTTAATCTGAGAGGCGTAATGAAGTACGATACCTGGAAGAGCGTTGAATCGAGCTTATTATACAACTGATACTGGCCTAAGTTAACGTAGATGCTAAAAAAGACTTAATCCAGTTAGTGTGCCAAAAAAACGAATTTATCATTGTCCATCGATCAACGCTGCGCAAGAACTGACGTACTTCGTTATTCGTTTTATTAAGGGACGTAGAACTGAACATGTTCGTGTTAAATGGAATGGGACATTCGTTTAAATTTGTATTGCGAGCATGTATCATAAATTACGAGACACGGACATCGTCCTCTTGCGATTGAAATTTGTCTATTGACGTTGTTACAGTTGCTAATGGAGAATTGTAGTTTATTTACCCATTCCCCCTCCTTGAAAAAGAAAGGGGGGAGAACGATTGCACGAATTTAACTTGTTGTATGGAAGAACCAGTGACGGTGTATTTCATGATGTTGTTCAATCTGTCGTTTTTTGCGAGAAAACTGTTATTATAAAGTAAGAGAAAATCGACGAAGGAGTAAGTTGAAGGTCGTGAAAAATTGTTATTCGAACGAGGATAATTCTTTAAAGCTTCACTGCTATAATTACCTCGAAGAAATCGTTATATTGTTTCGGGCTGCATTGATGGTACAAAATTCGAGAGGCCAATTTGTATAGTTTTCACTGTTCAGGGTACTTTTGTATAGGTCTTAAGCTCTTTATACCTTTCGCGCGTTTTATTCGCTTAAACCTTAAGCGATTCTACTTTTTTACAAACTTCTACTTGCGGAGATATCGACCATATAATTAACATACAGCGTATTTGACAATAATTAATTAATATCGATTGTTCAAGTAATCCTGTACGAGACCAAGTATCGTCATACCGATGATGTCGACTGATGCACCCCGTTCGCACCCGTTGAGTTTCCCAGTAAAAGAGTAAAATCATAGTGTATCGTAACTTGGATTTTTATCGCGATGTTTCGTTCCACTTAGGATCGAGGACATTGTGCAACTTCAAAGATTTCTTTCCAGAAATCTGTGTTGATATTACTTGTTTGTCTTCTTTTCAATCTATGATCCTTCGCGAAGCAAGTGCCAAAATCTTACAATAAGAGGTTACAGCAGTGGTTCATTGGCTCTAAATAATTGTTAAAATAGAGTGATACATTTTTTAATGTTTCTATCATTGTTAATATTTAGAAGGATATTCAGCCTTACAAGTTTAGACCTAAAGATCGCCTTGAGTACTCGATATGAATGAATAGTAATCGATTTTAGCCACCCTTGGACTCACAAACTTATTTGAAGTAAAATATAGTGTTATATTCTGAATTTTATGTTTATGCCATGTTAAACAAATTTTTCGGTTTCTCCAGGTCAAACAATTTCCTATTTTCTTGTTTAAATTTTTCTTTATTTATCTTTTCACAACCTTTCAATATGGACACCTATATAAATTATTTAAGGTAATTTTATCATTTGAGTGTTTTCAAATAAAGTTACTATTTACTGCATCATCTATCTATCGTTTTAAATTAAATTGGTCCAACTCTGTTTGAGACTTTTGATAAGTTTTGATGAGTTGTCCTCACTAATTTTTTAGCTTAAAATTCAACACTCTAGCCGCTTTTCAGTTCTCTTGAGATGTCACTTGATTATGATTCGAGCACAAATAACAAGGTCGATAATATGATGGTAAAGTATATGGATTCAAATTAATATGTAGTAATTGTTTTGCTCAAGAATGTAATAATTTAAACTTGTAATTTGTAAGAGCCTTCTTTCATTTCATTACAATTTTTCTTATTTCAAACATCATTTACTTAAAATTTATTGCTTTTCTAAATGTTTAACATTGAATATTTTTCTAAATATTGCACGTGGCATCTGAAAAAAATCGAAAGAAAATGGCTACCTGCTGTAATCTCTTCTCAATTAGAATACCATAGTAGCTTGTTACTTTGCGATTTTTGTGAAGCGCTTGCCGGCGTTTGGTATTTTAAAATGAGAAACAGTATTGTTCGATACGAGGGGGGAAGTGAAATTATACAAACCCACTGTCTAATTACAGGACACAGGAACAATGGTAGAACAGAGAGTTCAACCAAATTGCATTAATGGTCGAATCGTTTTATTAAAAGAACTGGCTATGTCCCGCATGCTTCAAGATCGAATTGTTAATACTGAATTGCATAATGTGCCCAGCTAGGTACCCAATTAAATAAATCCTGTATAGTTCGCTGAACAAATTTTATGGCATGTGTGCGTTAATTATGTTTTCTTCTTAGAACACTTAATAGCTCTGCAGGTTCACTTATTGTTCGGTTGGTATATTAATTAAATCATGAATTTATGAATAGCCAAGAAACGTCTATTTTAAAATGAGAAATAAAATCCATGAAATAGAAAGATAGTCTCGTGAAACATAATGTATTAATTTTATACATTACACATATTTTTTCGTCGAAATATGAAAAATCAACACCGAGTTTTTGTTTTCGATTGGCTCATACTGAGAAACGATCAACTCATTCCCTCTTGGAACAGTTATAGAGAAACTCTTTCTACGTCTGACAACAGTAGAACCTCCATTATACGAACCATTATTCAACTATTCGAATATCATCCAAGGAAACTATGACCGAATATCTGTTTCCTTATCGAAATATTTTTGACGGTGAAAATTGATTATTGCAAAAATGTAGAAAGAATAATAATGGCATTGAAGTGATATAAACTCATATATTGCATATCTATTAAATATATAAATTTATAATTTTATGTAATTTATAGCGTTGATTGAGAACCACCACTTTATCACTTGATTTAATTTTATTACTATTATCAATTATAGTTTTAAATCTATAGCACAATCTTTAAACAATTTGTTTCGTATCAGTTTTAAATCTGAGTGAATTAATTGTCATCTTTTAATTCATATTTGATTAATTGAAAAGATCAAGAATGTCCTCTTGGATCGAATGATGGGAGTTCCACTGTTATATTCAACGTCCAAAACTAGCGAAATTTTCGGTTATACACGGGACTTATATTTCGTTCATCGGTTTGATTTCCGTTATCGTACGAATCGCATAACTTGGCGCGCGCAGTTGACTTCACGTTTGCCTGACAGGAGAAACAAGAATACTCGCGAACAAACAGTTGTATGCGACGACGTACTCTGCCTTCGACATTTGTCTTTCACAAATAAATGTCAGTTTACTCGTAACACGTGTAATCATATCGTTAATATGTTGTACGGTGCGTGTGCGAAGAAGAGATCGAATCGTGTGAGATGTATTGCATGGAGCAACAAAGATTACCCCCGAGTGACGCGTATGATCCAAAAGAAATTTGTCTATTCAAATTTTTCATCATAATGATACCTCGTGGTAATAATGATTGATCGTTCGATATGAAATTGTTACAAAAAATATTCCAATCGTTAAATTTCGATTCCATCCAGGGGCAGTCTCTCCATCTGTACGATGCGAGCGCGCGATTATGCGTTTCGCGCCGGAAAACGCATAATTGCCCGATGGGCAGCGCGGCGAGAAAGTGATCCGGCGAATTGAGCGAAATTTTCACTTCGGTTGTCTCTGTGTTTACCTAGCGAATAGGAACTTGAAACCCTCGTCCCGGGGCCCCGCAATTTTTCGTCGACGAACGGCCGGGAAACGAACGTGGATAAACATACTATTATTTATTGTAGGTACATAAGGTATGTGAAAGTACGTCACCTGTATCGCGATTGATACTGTACGAATGCATCTGTGGTATTTCTAGTGTGCAATAAAAGGTGTCATGTATTCAGCAACGATCGCGTCCGTAAGTTATTATTAATGTTATAAGTGTCTAGAGGCAAGTTACGTAACAACGTAAAAATATATTTGTATTATATGTATTCCTTCCTTTCAGTTGGTCTCGTTATTTCGTTATCCTGTACTCTTGTATCAACGATGAATTAACTTCAAATTCTTAAGAGGGGACTCGAGAATAACAAGTCTAAAAGTAAGTGATCTTTGTAATTTTTTCTTGTTAAAAAACCATTGGTAATGTTAGACTGATATTCGTTTGAATAGAAAGACATTTGAATTTTTCTCATTATTTATTGAACAATATACATTACTAGTGTACGATGGAGCATCTGATCAAGGCATATTAGAAGTCTACAAATGAAAGATTGAAAAATTTCTAGAATTCTGTAGAAAAATATTTTCGTTAGATATTCCTGGGTAATTGTTTATGCCAAATTGAAAAACGATATTTTGAGGAAAACGTGTTTACTTAAAGATATTAGTGAAATTTATAATAATTACAGTGGAAACATCGATCTGTACTGGTGTACGAAATGATAAGGCACTGCTGTGATATATTCGATAAAATCTAAAAGTTCATTACAAAGCTATACGGAGTGTTAAAAAACGTGTAATTTTTCGTATTTCACTATCTCTGTCTCCGTCTAACGCGTCGGATCTCTCTCTTGCACGTGCATCGTGCTGACCTACTCCAACCATTTACTACGAGCACGTGCGGTCAATGACATCACGACGTAAACAATGAAAAGTAAACAAATGCTTCGAACTCTTATATCTCTGAAACTAACCACGCGATCGACTTGAAACTAAAATCGTTATATCTTTTGAACTAATTACACTATCGATTTGAACGAACACTCATTTTAAAGGACTCCTTTTATTCTATTCGATGACTATATCAACTATTAAATTAACCCTATCTTCCATGTTTACTTTGATGACATTTCAGTAATTCCTATTGATTATTATAGGTGTTAATTGCTTTATAATAAAGGTTACTCTTATGTATTCTGGATTCGTCTTCTGATGATTCTTCGACAATAAATAAATAGCCACGAATGACATGCCCTGTGAAACATTAACAGTGCAGGTTTTGTTTTGGAAAAGAAATATCTTAAATTTATTGGTACTTTATACAAATACAATGAACGGTCGTAAAATATTTATGACTAAGAATTACACCGGCAGCTGTGGTAAAGTTACAACATAAAGTAACTGTTATTACATACGTGTTATGATAAACTGTTGATAACGTTATTTGTGTAAATATAAGTATTTCCGTTGTATATATTCAAGAAAATATACAGATTCATGTGCTCTTGTCTTAGATTCTACTTGATAAAGTACGTTGTACGATTAAATACGCTTTAGTATTGAATACTTTGGTAAATATCCACTCTTTATGTTCAATTTGTATTTTTACCGCATACTTGCATTAATTTATTGACTAGACATACAATTACGCAAATTTTACAGAAGCATTATATCGAATCTAGCTGTACGGCTTTTTCGTTTTTCACTTATATAGTATGCAATTATTATTAACATTAATTATTCTCGAGAAAGTATCGCGCAACTAAACGAGACTCACGTTCATTTGCAAACTACAAACGAGTAGAGCTCCTCGTGTTTTGTCGTGCACGAAACTTTAAACATTCTGAAACTTTACAAGTTAACAGGTAATGTACGTCAGTTAAAAAGATACTTACACGACGCATAATAACTACTTTTTGGAATGCTATTGATCCGTTTAAATCTCCGAGAGAACTCTTAGACGAGAGAATCAGAACCTCAGTCCGCAAACTACCTTCGCGTAATCTAATTACAATTTTAATAGAAAAAACTGTACAAAATTTGTTTCAAACTCCGTATTAAATAAATAACAAATTTATAATTCCTTCATGAAATATTGATCTATCGTTGCGCCCAGTGACGGATATAAGGGGTCTATTTCTTATTTGTTAACAAACGTTGAACTGCAATATTTCCATTCCTATTTATAATTTCGAAGGATAGGATTCTTCGCGATGTTTCTTGAGTTCTTTTAAGTCCATCAGTGGTTACGATATTAATATAAACGACCAGTAAAATTAACGAGGTATAATGTAGGAATAATTAAGAAAAATGCAGATAATTGGTGAAACTTGTACGTGAAATATCAGCGAGGTATCAATCTCAACGTATTCGTTTGTCCCTCAACTCGACGTGTGATCTTAAAATTCCTAAGGATGAAAGATGCTCGTTCAAAACTTGTTTTTAATAAACATCGTCCTTAAATTTTAATTTCATAACGATCGTCGAACTCCCAAGAATTGCAATTCTTCGATTACTGAAACAATGAAGCGACGTAGGTCGGTGTCGATCGATCAAATTTCGCGGTATCATCCCGCTGTGTCGAGCGAAGATCTTCAAAGGTTCTCGAAGAGTGTACGGCTTAAACGTGCGTGACGTCGAAGCTCTTGAGATGTTTGATGAAGATCATTCGCTGGAGCCTGTCTCAGACCGATACTGCTACCAAATGGGGATCGTGTTCCTCGCTGACGGGGGTGGAGGGTGCCTCGGTGATCGGCGTCGATGGATCACCGCCACTGCTACCCTGGTGATCCGTAGTTCCTGACAAGTATTTAATAAAAATTAATTTTCCTCGTATAAAATAATTATACTTTGTTTAATGACTTCATTCTTCGAATGAAAATTAAATTCTAATCAAATAAAATTCATAAATTAAATCTTACTTAAAGACCAAGATTCAAACGATATTTTTATGCATCTCGAAGAATGTTTATAGAATTTAATTCGAATAGTAGATGACAAAAATTAAACAGTTGATCGTTATTTAGTTTATTGATATTTTACTTGTTATTTGAAATATTTCATCTAGATGAGAATTTTACCGATCTCTGCTCATGCGTACAGTTCGATTAGAAAAGAATTGGGAATAATGCTAAGGAATAAAAACTTTATTATCTTAAAAATTGTTCAACGAACAGGTTACAGGTTAGATTTACCTGTGAACGAACTCGATCGGCTTCTGCCTGGCCAGCAGATCTTGCAGAGGGGTTTCAGAAGGCAGAATCTCGGCCTAGGCATCCTCAATAGCACGTAGATGTATGGATCCAAGGTGAAATGAATACAAAGAAGGATATCGGCTGCCACGTGAAACATGCGAATCACTTTCCGTGCGAGTATCGCTTTTTGAGGTAATTGCATCGCAAATTGTGCCAATGGAATTGATATCTGACGGCACAAAGAAACAATTTGTATTAACTCCCTTTTCTGAGCCACTTAATCTTTAGATCGTTAGCAAACTTCACCCATAGTTCTTCTCGACAAAAGAAAATCTTTGACAGATTTATTGTAAGAAAAGTACAGGACATTAGTACACTGGTGAACGATATTCTTTTTACAAAAATACATTATTGATATAAAGAGTATTAAACTAAATAATACATGCAGGATAATCAGCCCTATTAAAATGGAGGGGAGTGATTTTTATACAAAATTTACAAAATTCTAGAAATTGTAATATATGGTGGTAGTTGCAACTACTAAAAATAGAATTTTCACACTGGACGTCAATTTTTTTAAACAAAATGTGGTATTTTTTATTTATTTTTTTGCGTTACATGAAGTAAGACTTCTACTATCCAATTTCTATTATTTCAAAGTCCTTTTTCTAGTACTTCTATAAAAACACCTTAATTCCCGATTTTTCCACGTATCTTTCTAAACTTCCACCACGACAACCAACAAGTAGTCAATGAAAATTAACGTAGAGCACAAGGAGTATGTCACGCGTATAAATAAAGTTAATTTAATCAGCCGAACGTGAATTTCGATCAATATTATCGAAACGTGGCCATAATTTGACGGATACACCCTCGAAACGTATAATTGTATTTTGAGGTTCTTTGTTAAAAACAATGATATCATCACCTTCATTGGGTGTTTAGATAAGTCGCGAGTCAACATGGCTCCACGCGTTGACTTTAGGGTCAACGACAGGAATAAGCAGTGTTCGGCGACGCGTTGTGGAAAATTTTCTCGTCGCTTCACCAAATTGTTCTACGCTCGGTCTTGTCGGACGTGCAAAGGCAACATCGGTGTTACGAGCATCGATCGTTTGCGGATGTCGCGATCGATGGTACGTGAGGATATTTCAAACTAAATCGTTGTTTTGAATGTTCGGGCTGGGCGGCGGATGTGCGTCACATTCGCAAGCATCGAACAAGCTAATCGTTATATTAATTCGACCGTACACGCGTTCACGGTCCTAAACACTTTATATTCGGGGCTGGAACGCGTTGGCTGTACGGTTATTTTTGTTCCCGTCGAATTCGATTGAAATTCCCGCGTTAAAGGACGAGAAAGCTGTGGGAGATGTCCGTCGGATAAGAAGGAAATGCTGGAATCTCGTGAATATGCGATCAACGTAGCTCCGAGTGTATTGTTCGATGCAATTGTATTCTCGGCGACAGGATGTTTCACGATTACACTGTACGAAAGACTCGGAGAATGCGCGTGTTTAAACTATGGGAATGCTTTCCCTCCACTGACACATATTCTCATAACTCGATCCAATTCTTTCGTTTATTAGAATTTTCTCGATACCTCATTAATAGAGATCTAACCTTAAGATACTATAGTGGAGCACTGCATTCTCCGCTCATTCTTGTCACAGATTTGTCTGCAATTCTCATACAGATTTTAACCCTGTTTGTTACACCAGAAATGGTATATTGGTTTTTCTGTTAAAATTCTTGAATCAAACTAGCCTACTTTGTACACGAATAAATAAAACATAATGAATGTAAATTTATCGTATTTACAATATATTTATATATTTACAGTTGACATCGCGAAATTCTTAATGTAAATTTTGTAACTGAATACAAAGGGTTAAGCTGGTCAAGTGTTATACCATTACTCAAAGCGAATTCTTGAGGGGTTAATCCTCTCTGTCTGTCGTGACCTCCATTATTTGTAAGAAAAGAACTAATTAATTTGATACAGGTCTGAAAAATATTTATGAATCGCTACGTGCTGTTCGAATAAAAAATTAGTGGTCAACTTGCTTCACCCTCCTCTACCGTCGAAGCTGAATTAAAAATTGTCTGATGTCCGACGATAAATATCCAAGATTGATAATTTAAAAACGACGCGCCACGGTGAATGTAAAACTATCAGTGAACGTTTAGAGTCTAGTCACGGTCGACACGATCGCAAATTTTATCGATGTTTCGATGGCGTAGGGGTAAATATCATCGCCGAATGGATCTTCAGGAAGCGCGTCACGTAAGAGCCGTTGCTTCCCATAAACGAGAGTAGCCGGAAGGAACCGTCTTCCTCCCCCAGACTTCCCTCAGTTACGGTTCATTGCCCAAAAATTTAACCTCAATGAAACGACGATCCCCAGCAGAAATTAACTGCCATTTGTACATCAATTTGAAAGAATATGAAATAGACTTCGTGGTAACACATTTTAGTTCTCTATGTTTATATTATTTTAGAGTCTTCGCTAAATAATTTGAGAAGTAATGAAATTACATAATTATGTTCTCCAAAAATTATTTTTCATTATCATTTCTGCAACTTTTTATTTTTATATTTGTCTGATTAAAATAGCTTAAGAAATAGGAACGAGAGTCGACTTAATCAGTGAATATAATAAAATTACTCTTGGTTTATGATAGGTCTGGACTGAATTATTTATGTTATTGGCGCTAAAAGTGTTTGAATACTCGTGGATGGAATTAACAGTACTATATTATAAATTATAATATCTTATAAAATTCGCAGATATCGCCAAATGAATCCTGATTTTTTACTACTGAATACGAATTTTTCCAGCTACCCTAATCTATTTTAAAAATGGATTCCTGATAGGGGATCAAAAAATGTAAAATGAACGATGAAATAAATATTTCGTTCCTAATCTCCTTCCAATGTATATATCTTCCAAATCATTTTATGCAAAATGAAATGATACGCATTTGAAAAATTACTTGAAATTAAATCGTATATCAAGGGGTTAGAGATTCTAGTCGAGTAAACGAGATACGTGATTAGCGCGCAGTTGACGTTGCAGAAAATTTAATTAATTACTTCGACGATCATTTACTTACCATTTGTGGCATCCAACAGATAACAAACGATATGGATAGCACCGCCATCAATCTCGCGAACGCTCTTTCCTCGGCGGTCGCGACGACTTCTGACGGCGGTCCAGCCACCGTCAAAAGTGGTTTCGCTCTCGAGGAAGATCTCGTTACGCGTCGAAGAGCACCAGCCTTCCGACTTAGCCTGCTAAGTGCTCTGGAAACGGCTAAATTGCACCAGACTATCGACAGACAGAGTACCGTCCCTGCAATTACAAACAATCGTCCAAATTTTTAATACGAACACGCATCTGGTTCCCAGAATTTTCCAAAACTTCTAGGAAATTTCTTTTATTGCTTTTTGATAGTATTTTCATTTTTAACTAAAAGATACAGTCGATCGAAAATTAGAATAACCAAATACATTCCCTTAAACTGAATTAAATTAATTAAATAAACTTCTTAAGAACAGACGACAAATAGTAACGGATCTAGTTTGTACCAACAACATTATTATTTCGTGTTTTTAGAATTGAATTTAAAGTTTTGCTTATTTTATGGTCGAAGCTAGTTTATAAATGAATCTAAAATTTTTATTACTTGTATAAAATTTGCCCAACGCTAAAAAATACATTCGTTAGTGTAGTATTGTTTACTCACCGAAGACAAACCAAACGTAAGCGTACGCGATGTCGGCCGGCTCGGTGGCTTCTCTGTATCGAACGCATCTTTCGCCCTTGTAGTACAAACCAAAACCCAAAACTGGAAGGCTCGTCAACGCTAGAGCAACCAGCCAAAGGACCAGCATACAACGTACAATTATCGGATACGTCACCTGCTGAAGAACACATGCGTGTCACAGATTAAGCGACATCAGTTTCGATAGGTGTTACTTCATTGATGAAAACAGAACGAACTATCAACGCAGTTCTAAAACTACTCCCACATTTGTTTGGAACATGTCAAATTTTCTGGCTTTCGATAACCATAATGTCTAATAATAACAAAAGATTGAACACTTTAACGAGAAATATTGGAGACGTAAGAATTAATCTTCTGTTTGTTAAAATTTTAATGGCATTTTAAAAATTTGTCAACGTACCAAAATTTATTCTTTAGTAAATCATTTTGGAAATATGAAGCAAAACAGAGGGCAAATATACATATACATAGATATATACATACACATAGGGTTTAAAAAGAAATATATAATGATATTAATGTCTCATCAGGGTCCAAAAATGAAATAGTTCGCCATAATGATGAAACTTTATTTAAAACGATCAGCTAGTCATAAACTTTCAATGGCCTGAATAGCCAATGTCGCAAAGTCAATGACCTTAGGCGGAAAAGCAGCCAACGAATATTGATTCAATTCTAATGGGTCGCGAATTAGGCTGTCACAGACGCTCCCTCCTCGAAAGAGTTACGAGAAAAGTTACGAAAATCGTTAGTTATCTCCATTAGTAACGGTGTAGGTCGTTTGTTTTGCATCTCAGGGATGAACAACCTAAAATAGGTGAACTTACGACTGCGTGGGCGTATATCTAGGGCTATTGCACTTTGGATCACTACCAACGACCTTGAGTCCTATTTTAGATTCCTTAGGGGCCGAAAAGAAATGCGGTAAAGGGAATCTCGTGAGGTCATTGTTTTCGTCAGGGAAAATTAGCGTCGGTCAAAACATAGTTTGAAATGCAGAAGTTTACTTAGCAATTAATTGTCAATTTTCAAATGGAACGTATTGCATTTTTTTACTAAATCATGTACTTCCAATAACGAAGAGTTGATGAAGAATATGGGGAACATGTATAAATCGTCAAAATATTAGTTAACACTTAGATGATATTTAATGTTTATACCCATATTAAATTAGTATTTTTCTAAATGGAGGATTTGACACTTAAGGTGATGTTTTACAATTCCAGACGAGAATGTGTTGATTAACTCGAATTTTAGAAATTGATGAGTACTTTGTAAACAAATTAATTACGTATAAAAATTTCTAGAGTCAAATCAAATAATAGAGTTAAAAGATGTTTCTAATTGCAGTACCATTTATCACTTATATAAATCACCTCTCTATTTGACTAATAGTAAACGTTTTTGTTACGGTATTAAATAATTAATTAACAAAGTATTAACATATTAAAATTCGCAAAATTGCATCTATAAATTTAGTTGTCTTAGAATATTAATTCTGACAAAAACTTGTTGCTGGATTGCCTCGAATGAAATATTTAACAATTTTATTTACATATAAATAATATAAATTGATAGTCATTCAACTTGATAACTTATTATACGTCACAGCAACGATATAAATCTTTCGATCTTACTTCATCAAATGGCCAAATATTTATGAATATATATCGACTATCCTAAACGTTTAGTGTCCAAACACGATCGAATAAATATAATTATACTATAATGTAGAAATTTCTATTACGAAATAGTATCGGGATAATGTTTGGTTCAAGGTGTAAGTACATTAATTTAAATTGCTAGGTTGATCAGCACGTTATTATCAAAGTATTAAATATAATACGTAATTTAATTTGACGCAATTTAATTATAGTAATCCATAACATTCACTGCTCTTACACGTGTTAAATTCTAGCAAATTTTCAGACTGTATGTACGCGATACTTTCATCAAAACATAAAGGAAGACGGTATCGAAGAAACAATTACTCCACATCGTATTCTTTTATGTTTACACTCGGATGTCCTGGAATCACGTTCCCGGGGAAATGGAAGAAGAGATAAAATCGTTGGCAACGATTTTTCGCCGACCCTTTGCGCGGATAGCTAAGTGCTTTCGAGGAAGAAGAATATAAGGTCTTCCCACCGGGGATGATAAAGAACTTCGTGAACGAAGACATCGGGGAAAAAGTTAAGGTAACTCTAATTATTACACGGACATTGTGCAGACCCTGTAGTACTATGCTATCATCTTTAACACTCCTGGGACTATCAAGAAGAAATGTCAGACAGGGTTAAACGGTTTCAATCCTTTTGCTCTCAGCTTAATCCATATTGCTGGTGTATAATACACAGGTTAAATTTCAATTTCAATTTTCAGCTTAACATATACTATTAAATAGGATGGTCTTGCATTCTTTTACTTATCTTATACAAGATTAATTTTTACAGGGGAGTTGCATATTATTTGATTCATTCTTCACGACATTTTGGCCATAATGTATGGCTCTCTTTAGGCGCGAAACAACCTTGGAAACAATAGTAGAGAAAAAGAAAATTTATATTTAATGATTGGAAAATGGATATTTGTAGCAGTTACGAAAAGGGAGGTTTCAATTGCTCATTTCTTCTGAATGCTCCAGAATACATCACGTAATGTTTATTTCCGTCTATCTATTGATGGATTATTATTTCTCATGTCCTACGTTAATCCTTTCTTCATTATCGTAAGTAGCTGGTTTGATAAAATACGCAGTATCTCCTACAAGCAAAATTGATAATTAACGGTCACTTAATTGCTGGCTAAATTTAATGTGTGACACTCTTATTTTCTATTTTTAATGATTCTCCGTAAAAGCATGAGTCACGCCCCCCTCGTTACGAATCAATATTTCAACAGCCGACGAAATTATTACAAAAATATTGATGATAGTTCCAATTATACTTTTCTTGGAATAGTATTAATATTTGGTAATTATTTCTATCGTATTATTTATTTTGTCCGTGTTAATATAATCGTGTTGTAATAATAAATAATATTCACGATGGAGCTTATAAAATAAAAAAAGGAACGATTAAGTATTCTTCATTAGGCATAACAAAAAATAAAAATATGATAAGTATTCTATAAATTTCACTAAACATTTGGAAATATATACTGTTTTCAAAGAAACTGAGAAATGCTATTACAAAAAAGGATACTATTAAAAAGTGACAATTTTAATTATTAGTTTACAATTAAATTATGCATAAAAAATACCGTAGGTACTTGATAACCTAAAAATAATAATAATGACAGAAAAGAATGATTTTAAAGAGACCTGTAGATTTGAATTTAACTGTTCAAGACTGGGAACCTACTTTTGAAGTCCCATTGCTAATTTTACATTCTGTAACATTTTCGAAAACTAAAATGTTGGTCCTAGTTGTTCGCGAATGTACATTCTTACATCGTGAATCGCTCCTCGCAGATCTAAACATGTACATTCTATTGCCACGAAGGTATACACATCGTTCAGATCGCACGAAACCATCAAGAGATAATTTCACGCGTTGCCCAATCGTTGATCTAGTTTACTTTGGCCGCGTGGTCCCTATTTTTTCGTCGGGAGCATCGTCAAAACGTCGACGAGATTATAAGAAACAGTAATATTTTGAGGTAGCCGATAATACCAATTTACACGCTTCCAATCGTTGCTAATCCCTGATCCGCCCGCTTTATAATCCCCGATTTACTCTATATTTTATCCACGAGCCACCTCGTGTTGACTCGAGGTAAATACTATCGCGTTACAAATTTATAGCGCTTCAGGTGATCCAGGATCCCCAAGGGTGAATACTAACAAGAAGCTCGGGTTTTCATGGGCCGTCCACTTTCCAATTTGCTTTGAATCGACCCCTTGATTGTGGTCTATTTTTCAGGATAGTTCGTTAAAACGAACGCACGATAAAGTAGACTGAATTCTGTTGCTCTTGTGTTTCAAGAAAGAATTACTATCACAATTTTCTTCAATTCAAGGGGATATAAGAATCTGTAAAGTCGTAATTGCCAAGTGATATTGCTCCTTTTAGTTATTATAAATTAAAGCAAAATAAAACATGTTGTTAACAATATATAACAATTGCAATCATAAAAAGCTAAGAGTTCCTATATAATTTCGTTCGAATTTATTTGACGTATTCTTTTGCAAGCAATTGGTATGATTTAGAATAACTATTACATGAATAAGAACATATTCAGTTTTGCTAAGAAGATCAGCAAGGTATATTATCTAATTTTTCTGTTTCAAAGCAATGAAATTTAAACAATCAGAAAAAAAGAATTCTTTTAATAATTCAATATTTCTTTATGAAGCAAAATGTATGATTTTGGAAAAAATATGTAAATAATTTTGCATAGTTTGAAAAAGCTTTTATCAATAGTGTTCGAATGAAAGTGTCCATAATCACGTGACATAAAAATGAATATTTCCAAAGAAAATTTTATTCGAACCTCGAAGCATCGTGCTATATTAATTTGATATTGTAAACTAAGGATAATGTTTGAAATATTTTCTTTCGAAATCAAAACGACTTACGGGTAAAACACTCTGCTGTTGTAAACGATAGGTTACGATTTCGTCTAGCATGTTACGTGATGTAATATCTACTCGACGTAAGCACTTTTTTAGTTTCTATTGATAGCCACCCATATGTCTTTCTTCCTGCTTCTTAATTTAATTTTGAAGTATTCCTATTTAGTATATACTTGATGTAGGACGTACTCGGGAAATTATTCCAAGTATTTTTTAAACAAATTAAATGAAAAAACATAAAAGTGAAACAAATATTATATATATAAAATATGTATATGTGTATTAATAACTCGAAAGCAATAATACTTTCTTATATATTTTCGAAGTTGTATTAACAATGTTCACGAGCACGATAAAAAATAACTTTAACAGCAGTGGAACGTATATAAATAATTTGTTCTCGAATTGAATAATTAATTATCGTCTTTTATCACAAATTCACCGGATGTACAAATTTGTACTAAATAAATCAAATTTTCAAGTGGAAACATTAAAGGATAACTTAAAAGTTTCTTCACTGTATTTAGAAATATATGATTTTATACTATCACAATTACATATATTTTCCTTATTTTCAAAATCTTTTGTGAAATTGACACACAATTCTACGACTATACGTAGACAATGTGTGTCAAAAAAAGAGGTTGTGTGAACCTTGAGTAACAATTGATACACAATCGCAACTCGCGAAGATAACTTTATCGAGGGAAGACTAAGGCTTGGCAGACATAGTTAAATCAAATGTATGGTTCAGAGTTTAATGAAAGCCATGTACGTGCGAGGATACACGTATCTTAAGAAGAAGTTGAATCCTTGAGGTTCATTCGCAGCTGTCGAAGTGCGGTGTACTTTAATTTCACTGGCCTTGAATCGTTGTCTCTCAAAACACACGGTAGACGCCTTGGAACCGAAGTCCCCCATATCTTTTCTCCAAAAAGTAGCCATTGTTCCTACTATCGTTACCCTGATAGATTTTAACAAACTTTCGAGTCTAAACACAGTGTATAAACACATCGTGTTGTAGTACCTAACCCAGACCTACGATTATCAAAAAACTTTCATGTTGATACACTAAAATCGATTTTTTCGAAAATAAAATCAAAATAAAAAAACATTGATTGTAAAGAAAGGCTTTGCCACGTGTTTACTGTAACGGTACAAGTTCTAAGCAGAGAGCAAAGAATTAGAAATTTAGAAATTAGAAAACCGTTTAGTATACACTAATGCAACAGTGATCGAAAAGAGTGGAGGTGTAACACGCGGCCATATTTGGGTCACAATATGGGTTACGAGTTGTTCGCTGCTACGTGACCCATATAGCAAAACAGCAAAGAACGATTTCGTTTCTCTAAACACAAGGCAAACAAGAAACTTGTGATTTGGAGCCATGTTCCCGATCACGTAGCTTTTTATTCTCGGAAACAGCTTGAGGTCTTTTTCGAAGCTATCACTTGTTATCAATATCGTGGAATCCGAGGTATACGCGCGTTCTCAAATGACCCACGACCTTCGTTAATCACTATTCCCCGAATTACTCAGAATATTTATACCTAATGAGAATTGCTAAATGTCCATCAACAATACTAGAAATATCGTAAAATTCTTGAAGACGATACAGAGCAACGGATTCGTTTATTATCCTAGTTCCGTTAAAACGCGTGTGCTCGGAGAAAAAGTATAGAAACGAAATATAATGCTGCGCATATCGTTATCCCGTCATTTTGAAAGCAACGCGATTCCAGCTCGTGAACGTTTCTACCTTAACGTTTCGTTTTTTGGCCCGGAGCAAGGACAGGAAGTCGAGTGTCAAAAATCAGTACCTCGGTATTAACTAAGATTTTGACAATAGCAATTTTTAAACGAGTCAGTTACACGAACAAAATTGTGTCTTGATTGCTTCAAATAATGATCTGATATAAATAAATTTATAAATTTGTCTGTAATTGTAAAATTTTTAGGTTTTTCAGAAATAATCATTTACAAAAATTTTGTTGCGTCTAAAGAGACATCATAGTTTGGAAAATGTGTTACTAATCTGTTAACGTAAGTCTCTATAATATATACATATGTTGGGGATGTATGTCATCAATGATTTCAATGAAATTCTGTATTTAAATTCTATATTCCCATCTCAAAATTCAAGTAAATATTAATAAAAATATTCTTTAAATAAATCGTACATGAAAATTAAATTTTACATAAAAAAAGTTTTGTAATCTTTCACTTCATTTTCTTTCACGAAGAAAAAATATAATGAAATCTTCATATTGTATGTTTGAACCATATTAATATTGTCCACCATAAATGCTTCAATGAATATACTCGTAAAGAAAACGTTCTACTTAAATAATGTTTCAATTAAAAGAATATCACAGAAATTCTAATCGCTAGAAACAATTTAAAGAAAAACACACGATAAAGAGTTATTATAGATACAAGCCGAATCATGTCGGAATATGATTCGTACCAAGTACGAGTTACTGTAGGATCTGTAAGTAAATTCATATAGGAACGACATTTTACGTATTTTATGCCTTATTAATACATAAAACGTTATTAGTATATTTATTTATAGATCGTACAGCTACTTAACTTTGATATGTCACTCAAAATCACATCCTGGTAGGATTAAGGATAATAAAATAGTCATAACTTGAGAAAATGGAAACGTAATAAGAAAGTGATAAAAAACATACACTAAAGAATTAGGTATAGCAAATATAAGAAAGTAGTAAAGACTTGAGAAAAGGAAAACGTGATAAGAAAGTGAATAAATAAGTGACTTAAATAAGCCAATATTTTGTTCAAGTTATATACTACTTGTCCTACATACGCCTAATTAAATTCATTTCCTGAAGCGAACCAAAATTAGTATTTGAAACATCAAATGCCAAAGAAAATTTCCTATTTCATTTCATCGATTATCATAAAAGAAGTAAAAAAATACACTAACTATTAATTCAGAGTTCTAATTCTAAAAATTGTAGTATTTCTATCCCAGCTGTCTATCAAATATCATAATTAGATTTTTCTTAATATTGAAAAAGCTAGATGTGTTTGGCTATTTTTGTGAGTCTTATGAGATAACACAGTATAATTAATTCCACGCTAAATCACAGTTTTCAAGAATTTTTGACATTGACACCATAAATGCCTCCGTTCAAATCGCGTTATCGTAAGCAAAGACTAATCGCCTGGAATACAACTTTTCATATCATCTGCTCTTTAACATTATTTATTTGCTAGACTAGAATGCAAAAATAAATGATTCTAACGTAGCTTTTTGATCGATTGTTGCTGTAGTATGAATTTTAGTAGTATTTTCTCTTCAAAATAATATTAAATGTATTTATTTTCATCAATTAAATGCAAAAATGAAAGCATAAAATTCAACGATAAAAGTGATTGTTTAAATTAATTTCCGGGTGACATTTTATTGTTTCTTGATCGATTATTTATTGGGGCAGTTACCCTACACAAAATAGGATTAAACGGAAGCTCTTTTGAAAGTCGAATAATGTTTCAAGGCTGTTTCGGTGTCTGTTTAAATAATTATTTCCGTCGCGTCGTAAAAGGACGCAAATTGTTTCGAGCACTTCGTTGATCATATCGAAATGACTGAGTTAATATTCCCGCGTTGTCCATCCGATAGTGTAGGTACAACGACTGCGGAATCTCAAGAATTTCAATGCGAAAGTCTTTTCTATAATCGATCCTTCCAGCGAAACGTGTGCAAAAGGTTTGCTTCGCGGCAGGAAATTGATAAATAATTCGACTATTTCTTAGAAAATATACGTTCTGAATAATTGTTTCGTTGTTTATCATACTAAGAAACTAGGTTTTAATGAAAGAGTTACAGTTTAATTGACTCATTATGTGTTCTTAATGTTAATAAAGTGCAGAAGAGTATTTATTTACTTTTGACTTTACTAGTAATATAAATGTTCGATACTCTTGGTCTGCATTAAAAGTCGTTCTAGATGTTCAATGACTGAGTGTGTGAAAGCATTCGATGTTAACTCGAGAGGAACAGCAATGTCAATAAAACGCTTAACGTTGTCACTTTCAGTTGGTGTTCACGCTACTTCGCGTGGATGTAGTCTATTAAAAATGGGTCAGGTCCATACATAAAGAGCGACCTACGTAACGTGACCTTTATCACGTACAGATAAATCCCTCGAAGATCGTTCGACTCTAGAAACGCTTTTCTTGCTGGTTTATCTTTATAGGCTTATTTGTACCATCTGAACACGCAACAACTTTTTACAAATGCTTAACGTCATTTCTGAATCTGTCACTTTCGATGTGAGTAATTTTCTAAAATATTTGACGTCATTCCATCGCGATATTAATTCTTCTCAAAATACTGATCTAGTATTAAATACTCGTCTATCCATTAAATCAATTTTGAAACTCTAGACCATCTACGAATACATTGTTTAAGATAGCTAGAGGATCATCCACTTCGAAACATCAAAATGCTGAATAAGTTTAGATAATTTTTCTTACGAACGAAACCAAATTTAACGAACCACAGAGAGTCATGTATTCAAATAATTATTATATCAAGTATGATTGTATTAGTTGAAACACACTTGTATAGAAATAGTGTAGTCCCTATTTCTTATCTTTCTCCCATAATACAGAAATGTAATTCTTTAATTGGTTTCGTATCTTTCTTTTAATTGACAGTGGGTATTACCAAATAAAAAGATAATCTAAATCCGGTTTGAAGAAAGGAATTGTCAATCAACTTCTGTCGATTCCATAGGCGCCCTTTAAATTTTTCAAAGGGGATTATCTAGGATCATGACTTACCTTTTGATAAACGAAGGGTCTCGTCAAGGCCAGCCACCTTTCAGCAGCCATTACGATGGCAACGCAGCCGCTAAACAAACCGAATAGTCTCCAAACAACTCGGAGAGAACAAAACCCTCTCGTGGATATCACGCTGCCCACGTAAATTGTGATGTACATCTGTATCAGCATCCCCAACAACGCGACAAGATCGTTTGTGGCCAAACAACGCAACATCAGCAAGTGTTTTCGATTTCTCCTCTGGAAAAGAAGATACGTTTCGTTTACTCCACAACATCCGATACTTCCATTTTACACATACTTCATGATTACAGTGGATCTTATACGAGTTCTCTTTATCGAGTTAACTTTGTCAAATTGAAATTCGTTTGAAGATCATTAATTGGGATGCATTTATAGTTTTGTATTGTAGGGACTGAATGCTCTTTCAAGATAAAAATTTCGTGGTCGTGCTTGGTGATTATAACAAATTTTGTTTTAGAAGATAGTCTCTGAATGAATTATCCCCCTTTTTTTGAACCCCTAACAAAAAACATCATTGAATTCCGGCAAGTGAAAGAATCGACTTGGAAACCTCCCACCAGTTGCTCAGTCAAGAGGAACTCTTCCATTTCTTCCTATCTTGGCTGGCGATAGCGTTCAAGAAAGTAGGGACAGAGTAATCCGGGACTCTTTTTCCTAAAATGTCTTCCCTAGTTAATTCTTTCACTTACCGGACCTGGAATTCATTTATGGAAATTGAAAGTCGATTTATCCAACTCATTGACCGTTTATAAGTGGGTTAATTGTCTGTTTGTCTAACTTTTGCATCATTGTTCCAAATAATTTTGTGTATTATTCTAAATAATAGTGTGAACACTATATAGCACTATATAGTAAAAATATAAGGACAATATAGATAATGATAGCATAAACGAGTATAGTTTATTCTACAGTAAATGTTTCAACCATTGTTTATGATCTTTGGTGTAAAGGTTCACAAAGTAAATGAATTCTAAAAAAAAAATATGTGAGATTTGAAGCTTTTGCTTGATAAGAATTATATATATGTATTATGATGTAGGAAACAAATTTTATTTTACTCAAAATATATAGACATACGTATAACTTAATTCTAAATCTGTTCTAGAAATTAATGAAATGATTATGTCATATATACAATGAAATGAGTAATTAGAGACAAGAGTCAATTTTCAGTATGCTTTATGGCAGTATACGTATAATTAGTATTCTTAATTTCTTATATTACTTGTATCTATGATATGTGATATAAATAGTATAAAGTGCATTATTCAAATTTTTTTCTTTAATTTTCTTCTATACATACATACATAAATAATTCATATGCAAGTAGTACACAATTAATTTGTGTACTTTATATAATTTGATACCTCATGTTTTAGAATTTTTTAACTAAATTTTGACTTATTATCTTTTATGCAGACTTGAAATTGAGTTATACGTAAGTTTAAACATTTCGAAAATAACAAAATCATATTTTCTATATTAATTGCAGATATTTTAATCTGTAACAATTGTCATATAATTTACATTCGTATTTTGTAAATTTTTCTTATAAAATAAATTGTACCTGTTTATGCTATCATTATCAATATCTCTTAAACTAACCATTTCTTAATTTGGTTCATCAATAATACAAGAAAACATGTTTCACAGAACAATGACAATCTTTTTCCCAATTTCAGTAAAAGAACTTAGAGTAATTACTGCGTAAAAAATTGCTCGAAACTCATTAAAAATTTCCAACTCAGAATTACGCTTCGAAAGTAATACCCCAATTGAATATCCCTTTTCCTCCAAAAATATCCACGTTAGTATCAATCCCTCGTTAGTTCCTTAATTTCTTTGAAAGCTGTTGTTACCTTATCACGATGAAAGAGAATGACTAGAGCCGACACGTTGCCGATCACACCGGTTATGTACACAAGGGTGAGCACCACCTGAGAAGCCAGAGCCACGTGTCTCTTTGGCGGATTCAAAACAACGTGAGGCACCATCATGGTCGAGTTCAATCCCATCATCGACAAGGTTTCGTTCCAATCGTTCGACGAGGCGAACGACATTTTCGACGATTTTCGTAACGAGCGTCAAGAAACGTTCTACGCCCGTGCTTTTCCAGTCCAACAAATTTTTTTAATAACTTCGTATCTCAGGCGGAAGTCTGGGAAACGTGTTCGACGATGCAACGATTCAGGGACCTCATTATTTATAGGTTCGTTCACCCTCGATACGCGCTCGGTATCGTCGATCACAAGCAGTTGTAAATTTTCTTCGATTCCCCTTTATCTGTTCCTTTTCTTCGTCTAATGTATAATCTATTGAAAGCAACAGCTCAAGACTTTTCCGTTAAAGCATTATCATTGGTCTCTACTTTCTAACGTCTCTTAAGCGTTATTTTTCATTGATTTTCGTAGCGTATCGTTGCAGCTATCGCGTATCTTCGATATTCTATTATCGCTCGTTTCGACTCCGTGAGCGGTGTTGCTGCTCGTAGGCCTACTACGTATGGGCGACTTTCTCGTGAAACGTGACAACGTCGGATCTGGACCCTTTTGTAAGACTACCTGCAGTCCTCTGGGCCCTTATTCGAGCCGGCTCGTGCGACAAACGACGCAACGGACAGACTTGCATCTATCGATCGAATCACGAATGCTGAATTTCAACGAGACGACTACGAGCAGTCGAGTCCCTATCTTGTAAAATCTTCGAATTAAAAGTACGAATGAAAATATTTTTCAGAGACGACAGAACCGCACTTTAAAGTTCTCAGAAATATCAACGCACTGTCTGCTGTATAGCAGATCGTATGAAAAGAATCACGTATTTTTTTTTTTTGGTTTAATAATAGAAAGTTTTAACGGACTGAATCGATCGACTGTTGACGAAACTGTTTTAATTCCGCTCGAACCTCGATCCACCGTCCTCCGATCGGGCTCGTCGTTCTTGTCGATAAAACTCGACACGTTCTTCTCGTTTGGAAAGTATCGTCCGGAGAATTAACGTTGCGAACCTACGAATCGTCCCGATCGAAACTAAAGATTTGGAAAAGGGGAAAGGCACCTCCACTGACTCCTTCGACCGCGGGAGTCGTTGCCACACTGATCCAAACCACGCGGTCGCCTCCAGTTTTGTTTACACTCGCCGGACACCCCGTCGCTGCGCGTGCGCAGGATTTTAAAGCGTCTCTTTGGCGCCATATTTCTGGGACGCTCTTGCAATCGAATTTTTCCGTTTCTGTCGTTGTAAATTTGATTCGACGTCGAAACGAACCGCCTCCGTTCGATTCAAAACAACAAAGGAGGTTACCACATATCGTGCCTTGCGACAATTCGTTTTCTTTGGCAAACGAGTTAAATAATTGCGCAACACGGGCAATGCGAACGAAGGCTTCGGTGTTATTAAAACGAAGTACTTGACAAATTATGAAATAATGTACTATCTTATTTGACTTGTAATAATCATATTTTAGTTGAAATTTTATTTTGACTAAAGTTGTGTTCGTGTAATTTTTCAGGGGTTTTTACAAATAACGAACACTTCTGAATGAAAGTTAATTCGTTCGAGTAAACCATAACTTGGGAATTTTCTATATTAAAGTAAGAAATAAACAGTGTTAAAAATTGTTGTTATTAGCGTGTATAAATATGAAATGGTGCAGTTAATGTTTTCGTATATAGATTTCATTTTGATTCCAAGAGATTGTTTCTTACATCGAGACTTTATATAATAATAAATCATTTCTCTCTCATTCATCGAAGCATGAATTCTAAGCCCTCTCATAAAACATGCATACTAGTGCATGTCATTTATATCATAATGTGCAATTAAAATTATGGACTCAAATATTGCACATGAAAATTAATTTTCCGTTTCGCCCGATAAGGTAACACGATTGCGAATAATTTACGCGCACGGGAACGCGAGCTTAACGTTAAACGAGGCAGGATTTTGTCGGTATGCAGATAGTTATAAATAATGCAACATACATATACTTTTCGTATACAAGGCGGCACATTCGCCATTCGCATTTGATAAATAATTTCAAGCACGACACGATAAAGGCTCGTCGCGTGTGCTAAGTAAACACAGTCCTCTCAAGGATACAGGGCACAGTTGACAGGGATCCTATCCAAGCATGGCGACGAACTTTGCACGGATTAGTCAAGATTTGGAATGAATCCAGAAAAGATGGTGACACAGTGAGCACAAGTTATCGCTAAAATAGGATTCAACGATTGAAATTTAAATTTTTGTACAAGTTCCATTTTGCACGTACAGATCTAAATACGAAAAGCAGAATAAACGATCGTTCGTAATTATTAATTCAATCGAAAAAGAAAGAGGCCATTTTCGGTAATTATATTTAATAATGTAGCTGAAACTTCACTTCCCTCCCTCAACAAAGTAAATACTTTGGTAGGCCTCTTACAGAAGAATTAAATTGTTACTTTTTGAAGTAGACTTTAAAATTGTTTTATAGAGAACTGTACTTATGTGTTCAAAATTCTTATTTTATTTAAGTGGTTTTATCATTTTAAATTTAAACTTAGTATTAAAGAACTCACTAAAGCAACGATCATTGGGATCTACCTAATACTGTTAATAAATTGGTACATTTTATGGAATAGATAAATAAAAAAATAGTCTCAGGTCCGACGCCTAGTAATATGACTCCATTTTTATTTCCAAGGATTAATATTCGATAATTATTCGTTAGCCCTCTGTAATTTCGTGTCACTTTAAAATCCATACACACAAATATAGATACATGTATCTATACTTTTAAACTCTGGTTTCATTTCCCATCTAATTTCATATTTTTAGCGGCTATTGCAATTTCTACCATCAGCAGACATATGGTTGAAAGCTTTTGTGAAAATGTACCTTTTGGATCTGATTTTATTATCAATGCAATGTTACCTATTGTACATATAATTTTGATTTATGATTAGAGTTACGATTAGCTTCTTTTGTACATACTTCGATATAGTGTTTTTCTCCCTCTTATTGAATACGTTATATCACCGTTGATATATCGAACTTTTGCAAATTTCATAATACGATCTGAATACATGCCATTGCTTACGAAAACTGGGAAAAGCGTCGAAGAGGACAAAGAATATCGATAGAAAGCAGGTCGTATGCAATTTGTGTCGCTGGACAGAGGTCGCCACGTGGTCTTTGAATTGTCTCGAGGTGAATGAACTATTATGTGCCCCCGAGACGACCGATAATTGGTGTCATTTTTATCCAATTTACTACGTGCTGTAGCACACAAAACTTTAACTGAGACAAATATTACTCTCGTGCTGTGTACAGTAAATACCGATTTCCTAGAACACTGCCGTCTTACAACCTACAAACGTTTCGCAGAATTTCATTTTTACGTATCGTGCTCACCACTCCATAAATAGTAACTTGTGGTTCACGTAATTGAAAATTAACACAACGATACCATTCATATCAATCTTAAGCTAGTTTTCATTCATGTCCGTAAAAAATGATTATCTTAAAGAACTCGTTGTTTGTGATTTTTTTTGAAAGAAAGTATCAGTACGAATAATTTGATATTTTAATATGACATTTTTGTGAATATTCACTACACTTGGACATTTTTTAATGAGTAAAAATTTCAAATAAATTCTTATTTAGTAAAGGAGCGGTGAGATTCGATACTAGAATACAGATTGTAAGTTCAAAGTTTTCAAAATGGCGTCTTCTTGAAATTCGAAAAGTAAATTTTAATAAAAAAAAGTGTGCTATATTTTTGATTATATCTTCAGACATGGAGAGAGTGTTTTATAAGCCAAGTAATATTCAAGTTAATATATTAATTACTTTTGAAGATATCGCTTCCATTAACTCGAGAAAATTACATTTTAAGTTTGATGTGTGTTTCTTAAAGTATATTAAATGCAGTAAAAAGAAAATGATTTTTTTGACTATTCAAACGAGGATACCACCTTAACAACGAACACTCTGGTTTCTCGGTAAGAAGGGAGAGTTAATTAAACGTCGAACAGAGGAGGTAGTGTTATAATCATTAACGAGAAGCTTCTTCTTTCGCACTATCAACGAAGAACGTCGGCAACCGCGAATCGCGATCGTGTGCTCTCTGAAACTGGCTTGAATGTTATGCAAAGCAATTGCATTTATTAAATTGACCACGCGAAATCGTTAAATGGACTCCTTCGAGGCGAATGCACTGTAGATTGATTTCAGGTCAGATTAGAAATTGATTTGAAATTTTATGTAACAACGAGTTCTATGAACCAGTGTTTCGCTGTGATAAATAAAACTTTTGAAGAAAAATTATTAATATATATTTAAAAAATTAATTCATTGCAATGTCTGATATAATAGACTGACTATTTTTAATTAATTTAATTCTCTATTACGACGTTTCGATCGAAAGCTATAGCACGATCATATTCAGGTATAATATATTTTAGAAATTACTATGAAGAAAAATGTAATATGAATAAAAATACAATAAGAAATTGCGAAATGATAGAAAAATAAGTTCTTTACTACTCTGAGATTGAAATGCTGTGATGAAAAATTTAAATAATTCTTATCACATATTTTTCAAATCGAATCAAACGAAAATTAAATATATTATTAACAGAACAAAGATAATGAAAAGACCGCCATGTGTCTACTATGAAAACGAGCAAACCTATTTAAATATTAAAAATAAAATAATCTCTGATATCCAGCAATAGTAAACAACCCTTGTCACCTACATTTCAGTACGATTCACTTCATTATAACCGAAACTTTTCTTGCTTTTAACGGAAACAATACGAAAAATGGCGAATATGTTATAAAATCAAAACTATGTTTAAAAATGTATATAAAAAATTGGATATTGAATGAGACGGATACCTATGTCTATTAGAAAGTAATTAGAGGATGTTTCCTTTTATTTTTATTAAAAATGAAATACTATGAGGAGTAATTTTTTCATTTCGCTATAAAATTTCTCTCTTTTTTCTCTTAGAGCACGTGAATATCTAAGAATACACATACGGTAATTTGAAAAATACTGTTATAAACTATT